GAGAGAGAGAGAGAGAGAGAGAGAGAGAGAGAGAGAGAGGGAGGGAGGGAGATAGAGAAGAAGAGCTATAAGATATGAATATGTGTGAGTCTGTGTCTGATGGAGCATGAAGTGTGTATGAGTGAGTGTTTTTTGTGCATGCATGCATAAGGATGAGAGGAATTACATAAGACTGTCCTAGTTGTGCGTTTTCCCTTTCTCTTGTTTTCTACCCCTTTCCTCCCGGACTCCCGCTCCCACCTCCCTGCCTTTCTGCTTCTTTCTCTCTCTTCCTCTTCCCTTCTCTGCCTCTCCATCTTTCGCTCTGTCTTGGTTGATACTTGCTGCAGTGTGTGTGTGAGTATGTGAGAGACCATGCATGTGCAGAGGATGCATTATGCAACCGTGCTCGGTGTGTACATGTGCATGAGATAGAAGGCGCGAGTCGATGAGGATGAAAGCACATGAGAGAATGGGAATAAGAAATGTGGTGGTGGTGCTGTTGAAGGAGGGGGATTCCGCCAGAGCTTAATCCGTTTGGCAGTGTACTATGTCTGGCTTTCTGTTTGACTGCTTTTAAATCTCACGCCAGCCAGCCACATAAGTTAACCTCCCTATAATCTGTGCTCTGGTGCTGGGGAGGCGTGTCAGATCAAGGTCCAGGGTGTCAGAGCTAGAGGAGCTGAGAGTAGCCGCACTGGTGGCCTTTTTGTCTCTCTGCTCGGCATTAATCCCGGGTTAGGACTATTAGTCTAATGATCAAAGAGGAGCACAAGTACAGCCCCAATATTGTCACTTGAGCTTTAGCTTGGCATGGCTCTATACACGGGATTATAAATGCACCTTTTCTCATTGTTTCTACCCCTAACCAACCTTTAAACCCACCCTCACTAAAACTCAAAATGCTGTTTGGTGCCTGAGCTGGGTATGCCATTACGTAACGTGAACATGCTGGCTAGAACATAATATTACTGTATAAACATAATACTAAGCAGACAAGGCGATCTTTAAATAAGTGACTCAGAAAAAAAGATGCAGGTGTGTGAGAGAGACAGCATCACATAGCCAGCTCGCCGAAGATTCTCCACCTTTTTCTTTCACACTGAATGAATCATAGGCTGTGAGCTGTACACACACACCGTGTGTATCACATGTGTGTATACTGAAGATCTCCTCTGTTCGTTTCGTAACTGTAATCTGGTAATTGCTCATTAGGACGTAGATCAGAAGATTATTTCATACAGGGTTCATCACTGCCATGGTAGTCACAAGCATACTGTAGCTGTAGTCTGTCTTCCATGTATGCCTGTTACATTTCAGCGTGTGTGCATGTGTGCTAGCATGTGTGTATGCACTACAAAGAGATGCTATGAAGGAGGATAAGCAGGGTAACAGTGTCTGTAAACCACCTGCAGTCAATCAACTAAGATTAGAAGGCAAAGATAAATGAACTTGCATGCGTGACCGAGCACACAAACAGCCTGAAATATAGTCAAGGTTTATTTAGAACAGGCAAGGTGAGGCAATGCTTTTTGTGAGTGCTGCTTGGATTGGGTAATGTTGTATGTATTAGGAATAGGCTTTAAGTGCAGTGTGGGGAAAAAATACAGCAGTTTTACAATTTTTCTTTTTTTGTTTGTTTCATTGATATCCAGGCAAATGTTACTGATAAAAAAAAAACAAATGGAAACTGTGCTCTGTAATTTAGACGTTAGAAAATGTCAACTGAACACCTCAGGCTGGCTAGTACGGCTGATGTGTTGTTCTGTCTGCGACGGTGTCTTGTGGGCATGCCTGCGGACGGACTGTGACAGGAAACAGTTTGTGCGCTGGATTGATGGAAGTGGCGACGTGGAACAATCTGATGAAATAATGTCTGTTTCACCTCCTCCAGCTAGGTCACAGCATCCCTTGCGGCCCAAAACCAATCTCAATAACTTTCTGTCTTCCTCTTTTTCTGCCTTTTTCTTTCTTCCTGTCATTTTCCCTGCTCTCTTTGCCTCCATCTTCAGTGTAAGACCTTAGCAGGGATATGCGATCACATCATCTCTCTGTCGTCAGACTCTCTGGTCTCTCAGTCTGCCCATCTGGAGGTGGTCCACCTTACCAGCATCATGCCAAACGAAGGCCTGGTGAGGACCTCTTTGAAGATGCACACAATCAAACAAACTAAGGCTGTTTTAAAACTGCATATATCAACAAGTACTTTATTTCGACAATCGATTAACTTATATTTGTACTGTGAAAGGCAACCTGTAGTTGCATAGCATCTTCTAACCTAAAAGTCTTCCAGGAAGCACTTATACAGCTCTTAATTTACATTTCCCAGGCTCCAGGTCTTGGTTTATTTTTTGCAAGTATCGTAAAACTGTAGCCTCATAGAAAGCCCAGTCAAGTAAGAGTGCAGAATTTGGACTGGCGGTTTGAGTGTTTTGGTGGTTCTTGGCTATCCGGAAACTTTGTGTTAGCGTTTCCTTTAAAATGATCCATCTGTACAGTTGAAGTCTCACAGCAAATATTTCCTAACTAGGTCTGAAGTTCTCACTTTTCAGGTCAAAGGATAAATATGCAGCACTGTGCAGAGGTCTTGAAAATGCCAAAGAAGTTCTAGACAAAAAACTTGTATCCTGCCATTGCGTGCAGTGCGTCCTGGACAAAAGCCAAACTGGTAGGCCTAAAAAACTATCTACAGCAGACGAGAAGTCATGTCCTTAAGAAATAGGAAAACCTCCAGCAAAGACCTGACAGAAGACCTGAGAAATGTATCTGGTCCTTCAGCTGATCCACCAACTGCTCACTGAAGCCTCATCAGAAATGGTCTATGTGGTAGGGTGACTGTCAAGGAAGGATGTAAAACAGAGAGAAACTGATAGCAAATTACACAAGAACTGGACTGAAAATATGTGGCAACAGGTCTGATGGAGTGATGAATCCAAACTGGAAATTTCTGTTCAAGTAATTTTCAACATGTATGTACACGGTGGAGGCTCTGTCGTGGTTTAGGCTGCATTTCAAGCCATTGGTGGTGTCTTATCTATCTATCTTCTTCTTCTTCTTTGATCCCTAGCTGGCGTTAGGCCTGGATCGGCTCCTAAGCCAATACGCCAATGGTGGATGCCAATGGATGTCGAATTTCCTTCACAACTCGTTTCCATGCATGATGATCGTTGGCGATTGTCCTGGCCTTGTCGAGATTTATTCTGCAATCTCTGACGTCATCTTCGACCTGTTTTAGCCATGTTTTCTTTGGTGCTATTTGTTGGATTCTCCACTGGGTGGGTCGTTTACAGCAGAAGAGTTGGTGTGGTAGTCGGCTCGCGTCCATTCGACACACATGGCCAAACCATCGCGATCTGCGTTTTTGAATTTGCTCCTCGATTGGTGGTTGGTTGTCGCACATCCGTCGGATGTCCTCATTGCGAAGGCGGTCTCGAAGTGATACTCACAATATCTGCCGAAGGCAACACATCTGGAAAACTTTGAGTTTGTTGAGGTCCACTTTGAGCACCGTCCACGTTTCGGATCCATAGAGTAGAATCGGCAGGATCAGTGTCCGGAAAAGGCGGATTTTGCTCGGGATGGAAATATTGGTTCGCTTCCGGTGTCTTGTCTATAAGGTGTCTGATTGGCAACAGCTTCATTTTTCAACGTGGCAATGATCCCAAACACACTTCTAGTACAGTAACAGCATACCTGTGTAGAAAATCACACAATGGACCTCTATCAGTCATGGATTGGCCTCTACAGAGCCTGGACCTCAATGTTATTAGAGCATTGTGGGATCATCTTTACAGAGAACAAAGCAAAGGGCAGTCAACGTGCAAAGAAGAGCTTTGAATGTCCTTCAGCAAGCCTGGAGAACTATTCCTGAAGACTACTTGTAGAAATTAGAATAAAGCTTGGCTAAGAGAGTTCATGCTGTATTAATCAAGTTTGTCAGTATTATGCAAACTCTGTTTTTCCCTTATTTTACCGTGTAAACCGCTCATGAACCGGTGCACCTATTTCCCATTTATCTAGCAAAATATAAAAACACGAGCGGCAGCTCAAGACTTTTGCACAGTACTGTACATATGATGTATTTCCCTGTGTACTCTTATACTAAATCCACCCTGCCTACCTGTGTTTGCTTGCGCTTCAGGGGATGTATATAAAATCAACATATGATGGACTCCATGTTATCACCGGAACCACAGAGAATGTGAGTTTTTGCTTCACTCATTTGAAAGGTTGATGCTCCACCAACCCCAATTTAACACCGATTTTGTTGCCTCAGTATTCGCCTAAATTTGTTTCCATTGTCTGTTTTTGTCCTCCATTTTTTGCCTCTGCAGTCTCCAGCAGATCAGTGTAAGAAGATCCATCCAGGGGATGAGGTGATCCAAGTCAACCACCAGACAGTGGTGAGCTAAAGACCTGCCAAACACAACACTGAAGGCATAAAAAATTACAGAAAAGGTCCTTTCCATTTGTTTCCACCGTGACTGCAGTCTTTTGTTCCCATTATGTGCTATGTTAAGAAGGTGCCAAGGTACATAATGTCTGCCGGCACCACCACTGCTGCCACCATGGTGCTTCCTGTCCTGTGCCTGTGTTGCTATATAGGCTAATTAGGCTAGAGGCAGGAGCAGATTATAGGGCAATTGTTAGAAGACCTTTATTCAGACCAGTGTGATTATCTGCTCACTCTTTCTGGAATTTCTTCCTATTGTCAGAAAAAAAAACCCTGAAGGAGGCATCCTGTTTGAAATGAGAGCCCATGTTCCACTTTCATGTGTGAAAAGCTGTATTCTGCCTATAACTCATCACATCAGAGAAAAGCAGAGAAATGGGCAGCCATTTTAAATGGAACGATGGCTTGTGAGGGCATGTGATTGAACGTGCCTATCTATTGCCTGTGCTGTCAGCTCGGGCACAAACAATTTGTTCCAGTGTTTATATGAGTTTTCTGAAGGGGGGAGTGTTGTGTCTGTGTGCAGACGTCTTTTGTCTGCTTTTTTCCCCATATGAATTTCCTTGTGCATCTTGATAGGTGTTGCTCATGCGAAAGCATGCATGCAGGGGCTTGGGAGCGGTTCTGATTGACATGTGAGGGAGGTAGGTGTTATCTCTGTCTCTCTCTCCTCGGGGTGACGGTGCAGATCGCACCCTGCCAGGCTCTCAGCTCCAACCCTTCATTACTCCCTCAGCTAGACCCTAACCACTCTGATACCTCACTCTGGGGTAGGAGATAAGCAGTGGGGGAAACAGAGGTGTGTGTGCGTGTACGGTAGGGGGGGCTGAAGCATTTGGGGGAGGCTGAGATGCTGAGGCAGAGCTGGGAGAGTTGGTGGGAGGGAGGAGGAAGTAAAGAGGGACTTGGGGAGAAGAGTAAGGGGATAAAAGAAAAAGAGAAGAGGGGGGGAGAGACAGCAGAGGGAAGTCTCCAGTCAACACAGCTCTTCGTTCAATCCCAAATTGAGCTGCTAAAGAGTAAAGACGGATACACACCACCAGTAAACTGTAACTGTCAACAGCAATTGATAAGTTCATCTTATCAGCCTTCAAAGTTAAAATTACATTAGTGTGAATATGGATCGTACAAATTCCGTTACATTATGGAATCATCATGTAGGCCTATTAAGCAACAATGCTGCCTTCGTGTCTTTGAATGAGGGTTTTTGGAGACTCACTTCAAAACAGGGAGTTGTTTTTTTTTAGCTCAGCTCGTTTTCTGAGGAAAAATGTGGAATTTGCTCAAATAAAAAACTGATTGTTTGAAGAGGCAGCATAATTATGTGGAGGTAATAGCATCTGGGAAAATAATGAAGACCCCTGGGATTTGAAAAAAGCTCTCCAGCAGCAGTTTATGCTCTGTTATTTTGGTAGGTCTCTCCCTGCTTCCCTTTGCTATCTGTGTATTTGGATAAGAGAGGAGACCTAAACTGGGCTGGTTACCAGTAGCTGTGTGAGCCCTTGTAGTTTACAATGCACTATGTTGCTGTGGAGCTTAAAGTCATGGAAGAAACAAAAGTTTAGCTCGATAAAAGTCGAGTTCAGCTCACTCGCAGTTTAGCTGCATAAAAATCAAGGAAAGGAAATCGAACCACAGTCTTATCAACTCAGCTTCAAAACTACAGACACGACAGGATTAGCTTAGCATAGCTAAGTCAGGTGGGGGCAGCGTTTGCTTCAACAAACAAGATATTGCACTAATTGTTAAACTTCAGAAGCACTGATATAAAGGGTTTTTTTTGTTTGTTTTTTTCTACATTTTGTCAGATTTGAGCTACCTGTTTCCACCATTTCCCAAGTGATTACACTAAGCTTGGCTAATTGTTGTGTGGTTATCACTTCATGCTAAACAGTTTGCTAGCAATCAGCTCAGCAGCCAAGCACAACAAGAATGTCCCAACATGTTGACGTTTTCCTACTATAAAAGAGGCCAAAATGCTTAAATGGTAAATGTTCTGTGAGCGTACACAGCTCTTTAAAGCTTTGTCTAAAATGAGTCGACTTTTATTTCAAATCAGGAGCTGATTAATGTATCGTAAACAAGATTTAAAATCTGACCAGAGATTCAAAGCTAGCTTTCGATGCTTGAAGGTGTTTAGATGACAGGAACTATTTGTTTCCACACTTCTGTTTGATAAATGTCCTTACCCCTCGCACAAGGATTTGAGCTCAACAGTTCACATCGGTAAATTACAACACAGATGAATGGCACCAGTTTTAGCGTGTCCAGGAATAACCCCTTTTTGGTTTAAGTGGCAGGAGAGAACAGACAGCAGTAACTCACTTTGACCCAGGCTCTTCCTGCATTTGAACACTGACTGAACTCAGAGCTCTGAACTGGAGAGGGGGAAAGTGGACGCTACAGGCTGACACAGGCCATCATTATGTCAGGAATAAGGTCAGAGCAGCTCTGTCTCTGTGTGTGGCTGAGTGTGCATGCGAGTGTATGTGGCCTCTGCGGACATTTACAGTGGCTGAGACCAGTGTAGCCAATCAATGGCCTGACGACTACTTCGAGCTCTGGAGACAGGCTGGCCAGAATTGCTGCAGTCAGCACTCCTTTCTCTCTCTCTTTTCTGCATTCCTTAGGCCTAACTATACTGACTAAGCAACCCTCTATTTAAATATGACACTTGTTTTAGACCAGTGGGGCCACTGTGGTCAGTTTTTTGCTTTACTTAAGGCTACAAAGTTTAGCATTCAAACACTGTGTTGCAGCTTGTATGTTTGCAACTATTAAATCGGAACATTTTTCCCTTTTAGGTTAGACGTGCTTGTATTAGACTACATCGAATCTTAGCTTTGAGTTAAATAGCAAACTCTGAACTAATTTGGTAACTAGTTTCAGAAATTGCAAATTAGAGGTTTATTATAGATGGTATTACATGCACACCTGTGGGTTCTTTCCGGGTAATCTGACTTGCTCCCACAGTAAAAATGCATATTGGTTTAATTGGAGATTCTAAATTGGCCATAGGTGTGAATGTGACTGTAAAATGTTTTCTGTCTCAATTTGTTAGCCCTGCCACAAACTGGCAACCCTGCCTTTTGCCTTATGACACCTGGCATAGGCTACAGCAACCCTGTGACACTGAGTGCAGAAGAAAACGGACTGAAAGTCAACTTGGCTGGAAATCATGCTTGGAAAGTTTTCGGATAAGGCCAGGCACTAGTGAAAAATAAACTTAGCTGTCCATCACTGCGTGTCAACTAACCAATTTTGACCAATCACATTAACAAATCTTACAAGACAGACATACCAGAGAGTGAAAGCAGGTGATATTTTGAAAGCTAGCAGGTACTATTTAGGTAGGTATGAAGTTAGCATGTTAGATAATTCTATCTTTGTAGGGAATATTTGTGTATAACATGAATGGAACTGGCTGGCAGTGATGATATCTATCTATTGGACATTTAAAACAGAAGTTCCTGACAGGATGCTGGTTTGTCTAAGCTGTATACTAGAGCTGCTCCAGTGACTTTTCTAATAATTTCTTTCATACTATTATTACTCTCTGTCTGGAAAAAAAAAATGTATAATATGTCCTAGAAACATACACTCTTTTGGACAAGCAGTATCAAAAGCATGTGTGTGGTGGTTTGCAGCAGCAGTCAGTCCTATATCTGCTGCTGTGCATGGTGGTTTTCCACAGCAGATTCAGATGAGCCTGATTCATTGTGTAGCAGTTTGCAGCAGTCGTTTCGGGAGCCTGATATGTGTGCTTCTCAGGTGGGCTGGCAACTGAAGAACCTGGTGAATGCTCTAAGAGAGGACCCATGTGGAGTCATCCTCACGCTGAAGAAAAGGCCCCAGAACACCCTGAGCTCCACACCAGCTCTGCTCAGGAACGTCCGCTGGAAACCACTGGGCCTGCAGGTAAACACCAGCACAACTCACAGACGCATTAATGTCTCGCATGCTGACCGGACAAACGGTCAGACTCAGTTTGAAGAATTACTGTGACTAAAATGTGAACGGAGATGTCAGAAACTTGTATTACTTGTATTACTCCCCTTCTGTTTAGTCTCATGCATCCTTATCAGCACACTCGACAGCTACAGTGTAAATTCACATGTAGTAACCTGTGTAGTACTTCCATCTTTGACTCACTCTCACTCTTGCTTTTACTGTCCACACTCTGCATTCTGCTCCTGGCATTTTAAACGAATATTGTTTTAAAAGAAACTTATTCCCTGATTGACCTTGTATCAGTCCTTCCGTTGAGTATTTAAGAAATCTTTTTTACCATTTGCCACACTGCTGGCAGCGTTCAAAGCCATTCACAAATGCGTAGGCAGCTAATGCTCAACCTGAAGAGAATTTAGGCATACAGAAGGCTTGCTTTTTTTTTGTTAAACAGCAATAATGCTAAAAAATCATAGCAGTGGAGAGTAAACTACCTAATTAAATCTGCACTTTATTTCGATCTTGTGTAAAGGATGTAAATAGCGCAACGTGGCCTAAAGTTTTATGCTGGAGAGAAAGAGTTTAGGCAACAAAAGGTCATCCGAGGGGTCCCCATCCCACTCCCCTCCTGCTCACATTCAGATTTATTGAGACTTTAGTCCCGATTCATTCAACCTTTGCCCCAGAGATCGTCTCGTTGTCAAAGACGAGTAAATTTTTAATGTACTGTAGATCTTAAAGGTGGAACGCCTGTTTGAAGTCTCGCAGCTCGTAGTGGGTGTACACATTTCACTTAAGGGCAAATACTTTGTTAATCTGTCACTCGCCACCCAGAAATATCACTGAGCAATTTAGGCACACAGAAAGAACGAGCTGTGCCGAGACGGACGGAGGGGTGAGGCGAGGGCTAGTCTGATGCTGCCTGAGTGCTCTCTGAAGCGCCAAATGTTTTGTCAAGATCCTGTGTTGCACGGCTGCTATTTTTATCTCAGCATCAGGCTAATTCATTTACATGCTACATGTATGCTTTGATCTCTGTTCAGCTGCTCTTTAGCTTTTTGAGGGTTTTTTTTGTTTGTTTTTATTTTTTCGTATGCTCCTTTTTTATTCTGTGCTTTCTGTGAGCATATAACTGCATTATTAGGTGGCATGCATGCAAGTGTATATTTATGCAGAACTTGCAGCTTCTGGGTAGCGATGTGCAATAGCGCTCAACTTCATCACCACAAGGTGAAAGATCATAACAAGGTAAAAGACTCTTCTCGTTTCCAGGTTGCTGCCTTGTTATCACGGCCCCCGAGTTGTCATCAGGAGCCTATTGTTATATTTATGCAATAGCAGGGGATTGTGGGAATTCTACTCTGATGGACTGCTTAGACATAAACGCGCCATGAGGGGCCCAGATCAGAGCGCAGAGATATCTGCTGGAGAAGAGAAGAAAGGAGTGTTTTAGTTTTGTTCTCTCTCAGAAAGACTGGATCTCTTAATTATTCATAAGCAACTACAGGCAGCTCCACTGGCTCTGAAACAAGAGCTGCTACTCAGCAAATACTGTAGATAATTCACTGAATCCAAAATATCTTGCTAAACAGCCTGTTTGTGTGTGAGCATGTGTGTGTGTGTGCGGTGGAGAGAGGTGGGTGTGCGCACATTGCTGAGCTTGGCCGCATGCACGCTTGTCCATCTGGGTGTCGGAGCAAGTGTGTTACTGTACGTGTTTGTGCATGCATGCGGAGAGATGATTCCCCGTCATCGGACCCGTTGCTCCTTTGAGAGGCGAGGGAACTGGGTCACTTCACTCTGTAAGCGCTGGTTTTTGGATGCATTACTGTACATGCACGCTTCCAAATCAAACACACATAGAGAAGACATGCGCACTCGCACCTCTGAGCTCAGTTTTGGAGGATGAATTGTAAGGGCTGCAAAGTTTAGCTGAAATGTGGCAAATGTACAGCTGGATTATAACTGAATCCACAAAGGAAACAATTTATCTCGGCATGTTATCATGTGATTCCAAGCTCCCGAAATCCTTCCATGGCAACGTCTTTTATTCTACTAAATAATGACATATCTCTCTCCTTTGCTCTCTCTCTCGTTCTTTCTATGTGTGTGCCGGTTTGTGAGCAGCAGGAAGGAGTAAAAGCAATTTGATGATTCACTGTCATTACATGTGAAAGGGTTTTAAAAGAGAACACGAGGATTACCGTGATGATGCATACCGCATGCGTGCATTCTTGCATGAATGTCTTCTGGGCTGCTGCAACATGTATGTGTTACTGAGAGCATCCACGTCACAGGTCACACATGCGCCACACGTTGTCTGTGACCCTGCTTTCACAAACCTGTTACATGCTCAGACATATAAACCATTACTCTTGATAAAAACCTGCTATTTTGAGCAACATGTATTGGCAGTGAAGCTCTTAATTGATTGGCTAGCTGAGTGCGAGGGAAGTTATTGATTTCTATTATTTTTTTAATAATCACAAGTCGTTCTTTTGGTCTGTTATTGTGCTGTGTGGTGTTTTCAGCTCCTAGTTTCATACTCAGTGCAGTCATATGAGTGGTATCAATCTCTTCATCTAACTAGAGGCATTAAAGCAAATAATTACATTTCTCCAAATGTCACACTGTTAATTTGACACATCGGTATATGCCATTTCTATTTTTTCCACATGGGCTTGCTTTAAATATAGTCACTGGCCACTTCATTATGTACACTTTGCTAATACTGGGGGGGATATTGGGCCATACTGACATGATAGCTTAAAACATTTGCAGCAGATTCTTGCACATCCTGTCCGCCGCATCCCCCCAAAAAACGGATCCATTTGAGCTTTTTGACACGGTGGGTTATCCAGCCATCAGGAGATGGGTACACTGTTGTCACAAAGGGATAGACATGGTCAGCAAGAATCCTCAAATAGGGCTGTGACATTTAAACAATGCTCAGTTGATAGTTAGGGGCCAGGAGAATATCTCTCATATTATTAAACCATGAGCTGCCTGAACCATTGATGCAAGGCAGGATGGATCCATGTTTTCTCATTGTTTCACACCAAATTCTGTCCCTGCCACTCCGAGTGTTGCAGCAGAAATCAAGACTCATGAGACCCGGCTGCATTTTTCCAAACTTCAATTATCCAGGTTTGGGGAGCCTGTGCAATTTGTAGTCTCAATAGCTTGTTCTTAGCTGAAAGAGTGGCATCTGCTTCAATGCTCGACGTGTTGTGCGTTCAGAGATGCTCTGCTGTATAACTTGGTTGTATACAAGAGATTATTTGAGTAGCATAAACAGCCATGCCAGGTTCAATGTCACTTAAATCACTTTTCTTTCCCATTCTGATGCTTGATTTGAACTTCAGCGGGGCACCTTGACCATGCCTAATTCCTAAATGCATTGAGTTGCTGCCATGTGATTGGCTGATAGATAGATTTTTGCATTAACAACCAGCTGAACAGGTTTATATAATGAACGGACATGAGTGTCCCTCTGGGTCACAGTATGGCTTATTTATCATTATTTATCAGTCACTGTAGCTTATAACTTCTGTGCTTATGATTGAATGTTTATTATTTCAGCACATTTTTGGGGGGCTAGATTTGTCTGTAAAGGTTATAGCTGAGTTTAAGTTTAGATTAGTACTGTATTTTTCGGACCATAAAGCGCACCGGATTATAAGGCGCGTTAAGCAAAACAAAACAGTCAGATAAGTCAAACTTTACTCAACTCATTCTTCTTGCTTCCTCCACTTCCCTATCATTGATTCATTAATGCAGCTGCTCTATTCCCATGTTGTTGCTCAGTTGTTCTCGTGACTGAAGTTTGGTCTGTTTACAGCATCTTGCCATGCGATTGCATTTGTCCCTAACCATCGGGAACCCTCATGTTAACTTTTAATCGGGTGTGAAAGAATTGCTGCACATTTCACATATGTCAACATACTGATTGTTATCAAGAACACAAATTACTTGTGTGATATTTACACATCATGTGGAAAATGTGAAGGTGTGATGACAGTTTAGTTCTAGTCAAAACATGTTTATTGTGCTGATCGAACAGAAATATTGGTGCAGATCTAAACTGTCCTCTCTCCGTGAGCCTGGTTCTGCTGGAGGTTTCTTCCTGTTAAAAGGGAGTTTTTTCCTTCCCACGTTTGCCAAGTGTTTGCTCATAAAGGGTCATATGATTGTTAGGGTTTTCTCTCTGGGGCGATCGTGGCTCAAGAGTTTGCCTTGTAATCGGAAGGTTGCCGGTTCAAGCCCCGGCTTGGATAGTTTCGGTCATTGTGTCCTTGGGCAAGACACTTCACCTGCTGCCTACTGGTGGTGATCAGAGGGCTCGGTGGCGCCAGTGTCCGGCAGCCTTGCCTCTGTCAGTGCGCCCCAGGGTGGCTGTGGCTACAACGTAGCTTGCCATCACCAGTGTGTGAATGACTGGATGTGTAAAGCGCTTTGGGGTCCTTAGGGACTAGTAAAGCACTATACAAATACAGGCCATTTTTTATTGTAGGATCTTTACCCCACAATATGAAGTATCTATATAAATAAAACTGAATTGAGTTGAATATGGCGTTACATAGCTTTATTCAATGGCATTATGTTGTTATTTTGATACACCAAAGGTGACTTTCCTGATATTTCAGCCGGGTCAAATACTGCCATTTCATTAAAGTGTGTAATATCAGAAATTACACACAAGGTGTCTTTTTGTGCCAGTGTGGGCGTCACCTGTTTTGAGCCAGTTCCACAGTCTCACTGTAAAGGACTGCTTGGTGTCGCATTTTACTATATTAGCACTTTTTTAAAAAACTTGTCTACAACCAAGGAACAGGCAGGAAACGACACTCTGACATATCAGGCAGTGCAGCAGTGTTTGACATCCGGATGAACGATAAACGGCATGGCTTCCTGTGAAACATGGACGCTTTTTATACTCTAACACACCAAATTGTCTGCAGTGGATAAGGCCTATTGTGACTTGAAAATTACAGGCTCACTGAACTTAACTCAGTAAAAGAATCCAAGGAATGGTAAAACATTCAATTTAATAACTCCCCTTTTTTGAAACATTCTTAAGCGTTTAAGGCCTTTACTTTGTCAAGTGTGTGTGTGTGTGTGTGTGTGTGTGTGTGTGTGTGTGTGTGTGTGTGTGTGTGGGCTAGGAAAATTGGTCTGGGAAAGGTTTTAGTGGTAGATTCTTAGGTAGTCTAGAGTGGACACAGCGGGGGTCAAATGCTTTAAGTGTTGTTTTAACAGACTAGAATTTCTCCTGCTGTGTTACTCCCATCTCTCCCTACTTCTACCCCCAATCCCTTTCCCATGCAGGGAGCAGTGGGCTGTAATCACTAAATTACTGTTTTCAGACTCAGTTCGAGTCACCAAACTGCACAGCTCCCCCACCTCTTTCCCTCTTTGTCTCTCGTGCTCTCTCTCACTCTCTAGCACTCTTTCCCTTTCTCTCTTTGTCCTATTTCATTTGCTCTCTCATGTCGTTCTCTTCCCAGCTCGCCTTCATTATTTATCGTGAAGCCGTCTTACTGTAAGCTGCCTTTATGAGTGGAGGGCTGTGCGGGAGAGAGAAGAGGAAGACAGAGGCAGCCTGGGGGATAGAGGCGAGGGAGAGAGAGGGGAGAGGAGAGGATGGAAAGTTTGGAATATGAAATGAATTTGATTAATACGCTGCTGATGAAATGATGAAACCACGGGCTTTCGTAATGGGAGCACTGCCCACTTTGCCGTTGCTCAGGCTTCATATCTGTTTATCCATTCTGTCTTCACTTGTGTCGTCTCCGTCTAAAATGGAGCGTACTCCTCTGACAGTAAAACACTTAATTTTTCTAAATCTGTAAGCCTCTTCCTCAGGGGTGGAGGGGTGGCGGCGCGAGCTAAGCATTTGCCACCCCCGACTGTTTTGTCTGAGAATTAATATAATTTGTTTAAAAACTTGGACTGAGTCGCAGTGACATCAGAGGTGAGGCATCCTCTCCTCACGGAGGACTCCGTGACAAATGAGTGTCCTTGAGTCAAGCATAGGTAGGAGGCTACACTACTTTCCCTCTGTCCCCGCTTTTTCTTGTGGCACGGGATGCAGGGAGGGGTTTACAGAGGGGTGAGAACCGAGGAAGAGCAAAGAGAGCATGGGAGAAGGAGGGGTTGTCATGGGAACAGACGTGGAGAGGCCTGTGTGAAAGAAGAGGCTTGAGACAAAATGACAGGGTGGTGAAGTGACTGAACTTGGGGTAGGCAGGTATTTAAAAAGGGAAAAACAACATAGGCGACATGACAGCGGTGTGGAGATAACGCTCTTGTTTGTGATTCGCTCTTAAAACAAATGCCAGGTGCAGCGCGAGCAGGATATCACAAATAAAAGGCTCCATTCCCTTGTAGGACGGTAAACTGTGTGCTTGTTTGTTTTTCTGTGAAGCAGGGAAAGCTCTAATGCTCACTTACTGCAGGTTGTGCTCTGAGATCCCTCACCATCCTCCCATTAAAGACTCGTCCTTTCTCTCTGTTCTTCTTTTCTCTCTCTTCAGCCGGTCCCGACCAGCCCCACCAGCACCTCACCTACACCCGGTGGAACTTTGGGCATGTCCAAAATGGATGCCCCCAGCATGCAGGACGTCTATATCCTCTCTCCTGTTTCCGGACTCTATAGCACCAGGTCAGCCTCACATACAGGCAGATGCCTGATGATGACCATTACATTGATTATTATGATACGACGATGATGAGTACACTCATGACAGCGGTGATGACAAGCTGTGCTGTCTCTCCCCAGGGAGGAGATGGGTCTGATGTCATGTGACGACATCAGCCGCTACAGCGTTAGCTCCCAGTCGGGCTCTAAAGGTTCAGAGGCGGTCAGTTACTACCTGGACCAGGACAGCGGTCAGTACTTCTCCTTGCTGGAAGGAGATGGACCGCTGGGACCTGACTATGACAGGGGTCGCAATACGGGGGTTCGTCGGCGAGATAAGACCCCTACCCATGGTAAGAGGTCGAGCGTGACCAGGCGGCTTGGATGGAGCAGGAATGGCTCTGGGTCTGTGTTTGTAATGGAAAAAAAAATCATGCTTTCTCCCACAAGCTCTCTCACCTTTTCTTTTCACCATGCTCTCAGAGCTCCTCCTTATATGTTTGTTCATCACCCGCTTCATGGCTCTGCTCCTTTGTGTCATTTTCCGGCGGACACATGTGCCAAAAGCAAAACAAAATCACACGCCAAACAGTCAATCCAAATAAACTGTCTCCAGCTCCCTGTCTGCCCCACCACCTGTGTCCACCCTCGTTCCAGATCACTTCCAAAGCTTCCTGTAATGCACCCTTCCTCTGAGTTTATTCAGGCACAGCTATATGGCATGCAGGATGAGGGTCATTGAAGCTGAGTCAGAAGGCAACATTACTTTATCATCTCTTTAGCGAGGCAGTCTGAGAGCACAGTGGCAAAATGAAACTAATATTAGCGATTACATATGCAAGAATGTCCTCGTATGTTTCATGTGTCGTTTTGTGCCAGGCAAAACAGCATGACAAATCTTTACCAGGATGGTCGCTGAGAAAGAAATGATGGGTTAAAAAAATACCTGTCATGTCAGACATGAGTGCAACAGTATATACTTTAGCAATGTCAATAGCAGCTAACATGCTAGCATGGATATCTATACTATAGTGGAATATGCTAGCATTTTCTATACCTCCAAAGGCAAAGAGAGGGGATTGCTAAATGAAGTTGCAGGACCATGGCATTATGAACAGACAACATGCCTGATTTGAATTTAATCAGTTTCCCTTTCAAAGTCATCTTCTCGTGCACCTCTGGGCCACTTCCAATGCAGCTGCTATTTTTAGATCGATGTTTGTTTTGTCTCTTCTGCACTGTGCACTTTGTGATCTCACCGTGGACCTCGATTTTTGTAGGAAGAAAACATAAAATTTTTGCTTCAAACTGAGCTGTCATCACTGGTGAAAGAAAGTGACCTGTGATACTGTTGGGTGTGTTTGGTTAGAGTTCAAGGTTTCAAGCACAACCAGGAGCATCCTCGTGGTTTTTTGCCTTGTTATGCACAGGTTGTGCAAAGTGACATGTAAAGCTATAAACCCAGCTTTCAACTGCCACATCCTGGAATACCTGCCGCTGAATATAGCTGAGTTTCTACGGTTTTTCAGTGGATGACAATAAATCTTATACCATTATGAAACATGTTTATTAACCCTTAAACGGGGAAACAGTTTATTCTGCTACTGATTCTTGTTTGGTGTCGTTTCTTGGATTGGATGATTAAAGTCTGAGATAGTGGCAATTTAACAGTTTATTCGTTTAACAAAGGGGGCCTCAGTAGCTGTGGATAAACCGAACACACGCACAAACGCCTGAGACCTCCTCCTCATGATGGCCACCAGCTTGGCCCCACACTGCTGTGAGATGGCATCGTGAGTCACCCAGCAGGGTTGTGTTGTTTACAGAATATTTGTGGCCAACATTGTTTGGCATCGGCAGGAAGGATCTCGCACGTTTTCAGGTATTAGTACTGGACTGCAAATGATTGACAAAGCAGCCAAAGTCCTAAGAAAAACTTTGATAGACCTCAAGAAAGGCTGGAGAACTATTGCTCAAGGCCACTTTTAAAAATTGCACAAAAATCTGACTCCTTGGAAGCAAAATATAAAGAAATGAGTGACTCAAGACACCGTCAAGCTTTGTTGAAATACGAATGAAATTAAGTGACAACAAAATATAAATTCAGCCTAATTACGGGGCCTTACTCGACACTCGCCTTGCAAGCTGTGTAAGTCCCCCGAGAGTCTGCCCAACCCCCTACCTGCACACACCTTCGCTCCCACCTGTCTGCCCCACCAGCTGTGTCCCACTCTGTCTCTTAGTTGCTGCGTCCTGCAAAACACCCCACCTCCAGTTCCTCCCCCATAGCAGACTATCTGATTGATGATTGGTACTTCCAGGTGACCTCAGACCCGTTTCCATGCCTCCCGAATATAACTGGATGGCCGAGGCCAAGGAACCCAGCATGGGCAAGAGAGGGAGCCGAGGTACACACACACAAACACCTATACATGCTAAAGCACAGCCCTCACACACACTGTTCAGACTGGTGCTTTGCTTCATACTCAGCTCAACACATTTCAGCTCATCTTCTGGTTATCCATGGTGGTGTGGTTGTGTGAGGATACATATCTACCAGGTATGTATCTGACAGGGTGAAAAACGAACATAAATGCAAAGCGACTGCATTTATACAGCTGCCCTGGAAATGTGGATATTTCAATGTTCCCAATTTTACCCAGCTTCACCTTTTTTTGCGGCAAGACTCAATTTGTATTCAGCTGGGGATCCACAACTCTGCCATCAGAGAGTCTATGAATAATATTAAAGCACAATACAAATGTTGGGGTTCTGCCCTTCTCCCTCTCCTTCTCGTTCTCTCTGTAACTTTTTCGTTTTCTAATATTTAAGTGTTCGGATAAGAAGCAAATTAGGTAAGATGCATTGTCTATGTGGAGCCAAAGCAGTATAAAACTTTCTGTGACCAACAAGATTTAGTTGTTGTGGTGCCTCCCAAATCAACATAATCACTGCAGACAGATTAGATGTATGTCCCCAGCTGTGGCGCCATATCAGATGCAACAGCTCTGAGGCACTTTTATCCTTTTCTGTTGGGTTTTTATCTGTAAGGGTCTATTCAGTCTTGTCTGTTTCTGCTCTGCTCAGGGCTTCTCCTTTGGCTCTTATATGCTATCTCCCCCCCTCTGTGGTTTTCCTCTTACTGTCATCCAATCTATCGATCCTGTCCATCATCTAATGTCCATGTCCCTTCAATCCCCCTCCTCTTCCATACAGATTCAGACAACTCCCTCCTGCGCTACCTTAGTGACGACAAGATCCTGGTGATCGAGGAAGAACCCGAGGGTCCGAGCAGAGAAAGCCGCCGGGATTCCACCAGACGCTCGAGGCGTAAGAGCCGTAATCCCAGCAGCCCTAGTTTTCCCATCAGCCCCTCCATGCTGTCCTCCACCCTGCGCCTAGACCAGCCACCTGAAGCTTTGCCTGTAAGTACATTAGTTTTGAACGTTTATTGTTGCCTTTAAATACAGGGCGAGTAAGTTTTATCCACCTTCATCAGGACACAAGCTATTTTAAAACAGACTGTGTCCAAGTGAAACAACTGTCCCATGGTCAAACCAATTTAGACTGACATTCTTGATAGAGCCTTATAGTCATATGGAGAACATATAAAGGAGCCAAAGAGAGGGGAAGTCCACTTTGCTGTCAGCACAAAATTCAAAAGCCAGCATCTGATGGCATTTGTAGACATTAATGAATGCATGACATTTGTGAAGGCACCATTAATCCTGGACGTATACAGAATTTTTGGAGCAACACATGCTGTCATCAAGATAATGTCTTCAAGACATGTTGAGGAGGTAATCTATCCATTTAAATCAGCTGTGTTGGATCAAGGGCACATCTAAAACCTGCAGGACACCGGCCCTTGAGGCCTGGAGTTCCCCCACCCCTGGTTTACACCATTGTTAGGATTTACTGGTCTTAGGACTAGGTTTTTCTAAGACAGGGTTAAGAAACGCACTGAAACAAAACACCAACATGTTACCTTCATTTTTGTAAACTTTAATGCTTGTGTATTTCTAGCCAAACCTTTCTCCTTATTATCAAACATCAGATATGTCTGGAAATTAAGTATCAAGTGCTAAAATGATCAGAAAATAAGCAACAAGCAACAAAAGTTTGGAGAAACAGAAAAGAGTTTCAGAAGCGAAGCAGAAAAATAAATAAGATTAATAAACTATCAAAATCAAAGATGTAAATGAAAAATCTTCAGAGGAACCACTGAGTGTAGCGGAAGCTTTATTATTAGTGAATAACACGGCACAAAGCTGATCAAAAGCATTAAGTCATAACTACAATTGCTTGTTCTTATCATCAGAGGCATCTGGGCCTCTGAGAAGGACAGATCGCGGTGTTCGCACCTTCTGACATGCTGTCGGTTGTGTTTGTGTGCATTTGTCAGGTAGAGGACACAGAGGAGAGCGACAATGATAAGTGTTATTGCACGGCCGTCAGCATCGCCCATGACGAGAAAGACAGTGACACCGAAGCACTCCCCTCCATAGCTCATATGTTTCTCCCGTGCGCAACAAGCTCACGTGCACGCGGCTACGCGCAAAACAAACGAGCATACAAGGAGGGCATTTGTATGCAGGGTAGCCATCTCACGACTCATCCTAACTCATCCTAATATCCCCCATCTCCTCAGACACGCCTGGGTCTAAATAGGAGTTTATTCTGAATAAACACACACGCTCCCGTGCGCACACACAGGAGCACGTATCCCTGTGAGTAGGTGTATGACTCAGCATCAGCTAGACCAATTACAAGCTCAACTGACAGACTGTGCTTAAAACACTACGCACGCAAACACAAACGCGCACACACACCACACGGCAAGCTAACAGCTTAGCTCACACCGGCCCTCTCTAACCCTCTCGGCTGCGTGTTTCTCACGGTGGTGAGTCATACCTGTTTGGTGGGACATGAAGTATACCATCCTGCACTAACAAGCATATGCTAACCTAAATGACCCGTGGGTTTTGTCTGTCTCATTTCCTCTGTCTGATTCGTTTCTATCATAGCAACAGTTTGGCAAATGTCACACAAACTGAACGGCAGACATTTAGAAGATTTTTTGTTTTGTTTTGTTTTTTAGTTTTTGCACATTTTTTACAGTGCATGCCATTAGATTGCCCATACAGGTGAAGTATTCTTCATATCATGTACTGTAAGATGTGCAGTGTATAAGGCTAGCAAAAGAACGTGCAACAGTACTTGTGTTGCAAAATCTCCTGGAAGACTGCAAGGATTATGAGATAATGAAACCCCGACTGAGCCCCTGCTCTCCAGCAACAAATGCTCCTAATGATCTCGTCGCACTGTGGCTCAGGATCTGAGGATCCCTTGAGCACAGAAAGCTTCACAAGTAGTCCCATTTGTTTAAGAAGAATATTTTGTGATAATGGATTTTTAAAAAATAGATGTTTTTAAAGGACACCACAAGTGAATTCACTGAGCTGCAACTAGATTTTTATAGTTAGGTCCATACGTGTTTGACATTGTCACAATTTTTGTAATTTTGCCTCTCTACACCACCTCGGTGAATTTTAAATCCAACAGGCTAAATGTGGTTGAAGTGTGTCCTTCAACTTTATTTCAAGGGTTTTTTACAAAAGTACTGTATTAACTGTTCAAAAATTACAGACATTTTTCCACGCAGACCTGCATTTTCAGAGGCCTAAAAGTATTTTGGCAATTCACTGACAAGGGGTTTTGCTGCCAGATGATCTTCCTTCATTATTCCATAAACAATTAGCCAAATTATAGATTAGTATTGATCTTATGTGTTCAAGGGGTATTTGGTAGCTTTTCCCTGAACTCTTAATATGAGGTACAAAGAGATGTTAATGCACATGAAGGAGGGCCTTATTGGGCTGAAAAAACTGTTTAGGAAGATGGGAAAAAGCTTCTAGTACAATCTGGTTATTCTTTAATATAAGGAATGCATTGGAAAACTCAGCAAGAAAGACCACAGGAGACAACTAAAGACTGGAGGTTTCTTTACTTGGTTGGCTTCACAACCTCTAACCAAGTCAAGAAACCTCTTGAGGAGGAAGGTGTGTCATTGCCAAAGTCTACAATCAAGAGATGCATTCATGAATAGAAATACGGAGGGTTTAACACCAAGGTGAAAACCACTGATTACGCATCTAAGAGAACATCTAAAAGAGTTTGACCACATCCTCCGTCTAACATGGTGGAGTCAATATTATGTCATGGCCATGTATGGACACCAGTGACCCAGACTAGTGTTTATTGATGATGTGACGTCTCATAGAAACAACGGGGTGAATTGTGAAGTGCGCAGGGCTGCTCACTCTCTCCTCATATTCAGTCGAGTGCTGCAAAACTGATCAGGCAGCACTTCACGGTGCAAATAGTGAGCGTGCTGCAAAGCCAAGAGATTCACAAGGTCAAGAAATGTGACATCCTTCAATGACCAAGTCAATCAATGACAGCCGAAGAGAAAAGTGGCAACAACTGCAGTAAAGGCCTGGCAAAGTCTGCACTTTAATAATTGTTTTGGTATTTTCATTAAAAATCCTCTGCAGTGGTGCAGTGGTGCAAATTAGCATTACTGTCCAAATACTTATGACCCAAACCCATTGCTTAAGTTAAAAAAATCAAAATCCTACTTTAGTGGCCTGGGAGTATACATTTTTTAGGATCAAAACATATTTAAAGTGGTTACAACAAAGTGGTTTATAATGCAAAATGTCACTTTTCAGGAGCATATATCTATTATATTACTGGGACACTCTCCCCCTTCAGGTCATTATGTTTGTGGTGTTATAATTGGGAGCAATTCTCGTAACACTGCAGTTAGCCACAAATAGTTTCCCTGCAGACTTGACTGCAACATAAAACAATTCAGTAAAAAAAGGCAGTGCAGCGCTGATGAGTCTTGATCCTCAGCTTTGCTGTGATCCTCACGTTATAGAGTCTTGTAACTGTGGTGTTTTCATTTTAGCTGTTATTCATTCATTTATACAGTGCAGTGTAAATATGCGTGCAGAATTATGGAAGGTTTCAGAGGTTATTTAATGATTTTTATTTCTTTTTCAGAGAGGTGCAGACACACTGAGGGCAGACACAACAGACAGGTGAGTTTGTGTCCGTGGTTGCTTGGCGGTTTCACCGCTTGCTTGTGATTGGTGGAAGAGGTTGTGAGAGTCATTTGTGCTGACTTTCAGCTCTGTGCCTTCTTGCAGGTACTCGGGCTCAGGAAGCTCGGGAGCCGCCTCCATGAGGAAGGTGAGGGGGAAAACAGTGCTAAGGGGACTGGCTTTATATTTCTTAACATGCTTTATTATGATGGGATTTTTCAAGCAGCACTGCCTTCAGTATACTGTTTCTGACTCTGGCACCATTTTAATGAAGTGACAGTTACATCAACAATCTCCTAGCAACCGCATCTCGCTGTTACACGGAGATCAATTATGTCTTAATCGCTGAACATACAGCCAGACAGGAGCAGGAGAGATTTCTGAGATTAAATCAATTTAGCACTTCTTTAATTGAATAAAAAGATAACAGTCGGGTAAGTTGAATTGGTTTCCATTTTTAGGCTACTGTGGCACAGGGAGCTGCTTTAGTCATTAGCCCCAGTCTTTTCTCTAAAGCAACATGAGTTGTCGTGTACAGTGACTAACCTTGTTTGACTGTAAACAGACAAACAAATAGCTGCTAGGCTTGTTCATTTGTGTTAGTACTAATGCTATCACCTAAACACGCATTAGCTTCTTTGATCTACAGTTTTTTTTATATAGAAAACTCTTGTGGAAAAATCATTTGGGTGCAGCAGGCTGACCTTAAACACCTATACATGACTGAGCTTGACTGAGAGTGCAGACAAAGCATGGATAAAGTCCAACTCTTCTGAGCTTCAGAGTTTGGGCCACAGCCTTCTGGCCAGCTGTACAAACATCCAAGGATCAAAACCAAAAGAGCAAAAAAACCCTCATTTATTCTCAAGGCGGTAGTCTAGCCACTGGTGTCAAACTTGGACTCGGGTGATGGAATGCACAGATATATAAAACAATTGCATTTTACTCTATGCAAATCATGGTTTACAGCTACTGACATCCAAAAGGGACTGAAAGAATCAATTTATGTCCACTGTGAGCGACCATCTTTGAACAGAGGCGGTGGCTTATGACACCAACTGTCTGCCATCTATAATCCAGTTCTGAGATCCTTCCCCAGACGCCTTAACGCCCACTCACATCCTGGGCCATCTGACCTCAGGATATCACATGATAGGGTGGGGTTAGGTTTCACAATGAGCTCACCCGAGACCTTGGCTGCTTGTGACCTACACCCGTTTTCACACCTTGGCTCATGTGATTAGGTAGAGGATCATTAGGGCGTCCATTGTCCCTCTTGAGAGGGGGACACTCCCACAGGGCTTAAATCTGGGACTCTCCACCATTTGACCCTAGAACCGAAGAAGCTTCTTGGATGAGAGGTGAAACGTCTTCAAGCGACTTAAAGAAATCCAGACGCTTTTCTTTCCAAGCTCCTTAGACTTTTCATTAGATAGCAAAATAGCTCAATTTAAACATTTGATATGTTTCCTATGTTCTGTGGTGATTAAAACATACCTTTATGAGACTTGCAAATCACTCCAATCCACTTTCGACATTTTATACAAGATCCCAACTTTTTTGGAGTTGGACTTGTATTTTATTAATTTACTAAAAGTCTAAAAGAAGAGCAGTCCTGACTTCTTTGGCACACAGGTTATTACTGATTGTAGGTCACTTCCTGCTCTCTGGTAGGTTTAGCCTTGTGCCCTGTGCCTGTAATCCTCTTTGGAGTGTGCCTGATGAAAATTTGAAAAAATCAGCTAAACATTGCGGTGTGAGCTAGCCGCTTAGCTGTGTGGTACATCCATTAAACAACCACAGACTTTCTCTCTAATATCTTTCTTTTTTCCCCCATCTAGTCTTTCCATTACACCTCCCTAAGAACGAAAACCAAAAAGAGAAGTAAAGGTAGGTACTTTTCTCTTTTATTTTCCAGTGTAGGATCTTCACAGTAACACACCGCAGTGCTGCATGCATGGGAGCACTTGAGGCCCCCGTGATTTACACTGAAAATGTGTCTAAACTCCAGACATGATCACTCATCACTGTGAGATAATGACAGGGATTAAAATTCTCCCAGAGATAAAGAATAGACTCCTAACATTTGAATTTCATTTGTTAGCATTAGCAACTTCAAATACTGATTACATGTTAGCACACACAGAGTACTTATTTTCACTGTCAGACCTTCAGGATTCTTGGTCTTTCTTCTCCCTCGCTAGGTTCCCTCACTAGTGCCAGTCGAAGGAGAATCTCCTGTAAGGATCTCGGCCACGGTGACTGTGAAGGCTGGCTATGGAAAAAGAAGGACGCTAAAGGCTACTTCACCCAAAAATGGAGGAAGTACTGGTTTATCCTCAAAGAGTCTTGTCTCTACTGGTACACCAACCAAAACGTAAGGCATTACATTCAAAAACACAGCAATTTCGCTGTGCTTATTGTTGCCAGAACTAATGAACACTAGCTAGTTGTCACAGTTTCAACACAAAACTTCACCAGTCCACATATGAAGTGTAATACAGTGTCTGATACAGATACATTATTATATTTCAAATGACTATAATGGCTCTCTTTCAAATTAGAGACCAAATTAGATTTTTGAATAAAAAACAAAAACACCATATGAGGCATTATTAATAGCATATAGCAATGAGTGCTACAGGATATTAATGTTAATGATTTTCTCTTCAGTTTTGAGGCTTTTCTTTCTTATTTATGAGGTTCTGCTGAAATCAGGTTTACATCTCCTCTGTCTGTTTCAGACAAACATTTGACAAAACATCATCTTACTTGCTTTCATTTGGCTGTGTTGTGTAGTTTTGGCTATAGAACCAGCCAAAGTAATAATGAGGATACTAGTAAAAACAAGAAGCCAGGTGACACATAAAGACAACATGCAGAACCAGAAGTACACCGACACAAAGATGACTTGTCGGGTGATTTGTGAGGTGACAGATGTCGACGGTCTGCCTGTCCGTGCTGGAGTACAGTTCAGAGTTGACATGAACCTTTTCATTTGATATAGAAAGTGTGCATGTGACCATAATTTTAATACAAATGGAACCCCATACTGTTCCTGTAATGAAATCTTCTCATAAAATCAAGAAAAAAAGGCTAATATCATTTCTACATCTCTGTCGCCGTGTCTTATAATTGGACTGCAACTAGGAAATGCATAATTTAGTCAATTAAAATAAAATAATACTTTTTTCAATTGAAAAATTTCATTACAAAAAAAATGTAAACAAAAAATTAATTTAATGTTTTACAGCAAAGTACTGAAACAATTTCTCGCTGATTTTGGTCCATATTGAAATGACAGCAACACACAGTTGTCTGTGAACGATATCTGGTGAATGTGGAGGCCATTTGATAGTCACGTTTAAGAAACCAGTTTAAGATCGTTCGGTTGATCTCATTATCCATCAGAAGATGGGGACATTGTGGTTATAAAGGGATGGACATGAACAATACCCGGGTAGGCTGTGGTGTTTAAGCAATGCTCTCTTGGTACGAAGGGGCCCAAAGTGTACCAAGAAATCCTCCTCTACACCACTACCAACAGATGAGACGAGGCAGGATGGATCCATGCTTTCATGTTGTTTATGCCAAATTATGACACTGTTATCTGTAGCAGCAGAAATCGAGACTCAGGAGACCAGGCAAATTCTTTCCAATCGTCTGTTGTCCAATTTTGATTAGCCTGTGTGAATTGCAGCCTCATTTACCTGTTGTTAGCTGACAGGAGTGGCGCCGGGTCTGGTCTTCTGCTGCTTACTGTTGCCTTCCTATCAGCTCGAAGTAGTCTGGCTAGTCTTCCACTTTTGACATGTTTTCTCTTTTTCAGACCTTTGTCCTTAAACCCTAAAGACAGCTGTAAGGGGAAAATCCCAGTAGATTAGCGGTTTTGCACCAACGACCATGCCATGGTCAAAGTCACCTAAATCAGTTTAAATGAGTCACTTAAATGAACTTCAGCAGGCTGTCTTGACCATGCCTACATGCCTAAATGAACAGAGTTGCTGCAATGTGGTTGTGTACCTAATAAATTGACCAGTTAGTGTATATGTGAAATATTTTGAAACCAAAATCTCATCGAGACGAAATTAACAGTGGATGAGTTTGTTTATGCAGAAGATTTTATCTCCATGTTCTGGCTATGATAGTCATAGCTTGTCTTTTTAATGTTAAGTGGGAAAAGGACTTTATCCCAGCCAATGTAAACAACATATGTTGTCTTCATATGCTTGACTAGAGTCTTAGTATCCCAAATAAAATTGGTATGCATGACATTTTGTTCTGTGTGTTGATGCTGTACCACCACTCTCCATCTGTCTCTGCCTGCAGGATGAGAAGGCTGAGGGCTTCATCAGCCTCCCTGAGTTCAGAATAGACCGAGCCATAGAGTGCAGACGGAAATTGTGAGTGTCTCTCACATGTCGCCAAAAATTACTAATCAAGCACATGTGCGCTCACCCACACAACGTGAGCACGCACAAACCCACTGCGCACACGCAAAAACACTAATCAGTCCTTCTTCTCCCTGACTGACTGCAGTGCCTTCAAAGCCTGTCATCCGAAAATCAAGAGCTTCTTCTTCGCCACAGATTGTCTTGAGGAAATGAACAGGTGAGTTACTGTGAATATATACAAGTTTCTGAGCGTGTGTGGGGTGGTGTTTTGGGTTTGTGTCTTTAAATATGGACCAACGTCAGAGACAGGGGACGTCACGTGTCCTTTAATGAATATTTTAATGGAGTAAATCAAGTTTACACAGGGAACAACTCACCAACACAACTCTAAGCATGAATAAGGCATGAACTTGGCCCTCCTTTGTTAAATGCTCTTGTTTGTGTGTGTGTGTGTGTTGTGTGTGCTTGCAAGAGATAGATTGTAGAGATATATTTGCAGGAGTGCTATCTGATGAGCTCTAATTATCCACACCTCTCCTCAATGACATGGGGAGATAATTGGAAGAGAGTAATTAATCAGCTATATTTGACTTCCATACTTCATCTGGAGTGTTCCTGTGTGAAAGTGTTGTTTCACGCATTTTCTTGGGCATTATGTGTGAAAAGGTGGGTGTTAGCATTTTTCAGCACTTACAGTGAAGCTAAATTTAGATCCTGATTCTTCGTGGTGGTTCACAAAGTCCTAAAAGGTTTCTGTTTCCCTGTGGAATTCATCCATGTATCCGTCTTAACCGCAAATCTAATTCAGGGTTGCTGGATGAGAGGCCAGTCTATCACAGGGCTAACCCAGTGGCAGACAACCATTCATTCCAGTATCAACACCTACTCGGGATTAAACACTGAAAACTAGCCAAGATAAAACCACATCACTAGAGACATTGTTCCTCAATAATATCTGAATGTTTTGTGAAACTTATTCCAAAGCTTTGAACATAGTGCGTATCATAACAAATGGTTGGTGGTAAATGTGTTATTAAAAAGGGCAGAATAAAGCTTGGCGCTACATTTTTTTTTGTCAAAGAAGAGGAAAATATTGGATTGTGAGGAACTATTTTTATATAAGGATTAATATGCGGTAATAGCTATATGAGCTATTAGCAGAAAAACAAAAATACAAAACACAAATGCATAATTAACATGACTTCAACAACTGGTTAAAGAAGGCTTGTTTAAAATGTTTTAAAGTTTAGCATTTTTGCTGGTGATACCTTGTGTTTTGGTCTATTTTTGTTTTTAATTTAGATAGAAATCACCAAATTTACAAGAGAGCATTAAGCTATTAGCTAACGCTAGCAAGTCGGTTAGCATCTGCAGACTGAATGGGTGCTTTGCTCCGACAGTGTTGGGAAGGTTACTTTTAAAATGTATTCCATTACAGAATACAGAATACATGCCCCAAAATGTATTCTGTAACGTATTCCGTTACGTTACTCAATGACAGTAACGTATTCTGAATACTTTGGATTACTTAATATATTATCATGCTTTTTACAACAACGTGAATGTACTATTGCTGTGTGATTTATTACTGTTACTGAAGGTCCGCGACTCCGAACTGTAGTAAAGGGACCTCTGACTAATACGGCGGGGTCCCTGTCGGCTCGTAGCCGAAAAATAGCTTTACTTTGTTGTGTGGGTCAACTTTTCTTGCGAGAGACAGAGAGAGGCGTTGAAAGGCTGCTCCAACGGAACTTATTGTTTTCGGAGGAAAACACGAACACGGTGTACAGTCGAGTCTTAATAGCTTACTTACAACTGGGCTCGTCAGGCTCTCTTCTTGGCTGCAGTGGTTATTATTATATTTACATGCTTCCAGCTCCCGTTTTTCCTCGATGACAACTCGTACCTTTCCACTCCCCTTTTTCTCCCTCCTCGCGCTCACAGACACATAACGTGTATGGCAGTCCATTCTCCCTGCAGCACGGACTACACTGCCCATGATGCTACATTCTTTAGAGCTATGCTTGTAGCATTCTGCCTGTTAGCTTAGCACAACAACAACAACAACGAAAAGGCGCTCTCTCACCCAGGAAACACACAGTCGCAGAGAGAGAGAGAGCGTCGCCCTGTAACCATGGCAACCGTAACGCTGCCGCCTGGAACAACAGAACGTAGCTGTCAAACAAAACCCAAACAGTCCTGACCCGCGACAAAATGAAACAGGAAAGTACCGCAGTGTAATCCATTTATTTCAACAAAGTAACTGTATTCTGAATACCACCTTTTTAAACGGTAACTGTAACGGAATACAGTTACTCATATTTTGTATTTTAAATACGTAACGGCGGTACATGTATTCCGTTACTCCCCAACACTGCCGACAGATACTTGCTAATCAGTGTTAACATACTGTACAACTGTGCTATAAAAACAAATAAACTAGGATTTCATTTATACACACAAAAACACATAAAACAATTTTTTTTTAAATGGCGATTGAACATGCTATTAGCGCAGTTAACCATGTATAAAGCCATTATTTGTCATAAAATTAAAAAGCACAGGTCCAGTTCAGTGACCTTGCTACAGTGACACCTAGCAGCAAAATCAATAACTTTAAGTCATTTTTTCTGTAAATATTGAAAAGAAAGTGTATGGATATTTATTTACCTTTGAAGTATGCCCCAAGTGGCCACTCCAGTAACTGCAGGGGTTGCTGCTTTTTTGTTCATGAGGGTTTTTTTTGTTTTTAATTTAAAAATGTAATGCGTGTGTCATTTCCTGTTGGAGGCCCTATTTACTGTAGTTTGCAAGAACAGGAAACCTGTCAAAGTCGGAGACTATTCTTAGTTACAACTTTATTATTAGGTGACTGTAGAGAGACACGGGACAAGGTGGGATCTGTTTGGAGACAGACAGGAGCGTGGAGGCAGACAGCATCGGAGACTCACTCTTCAGAGAGAATGGCTGTTTTTCTCTCTTGTCTTTCTCTATTTCTGCCTCCATCTCATTAATTATCTCAAAGCCTTTCTCCTCTCTTTGGGGGGGATAGAGTCAGTTAGACATCAGCTGTTAAGAGAAACAACTTAAATTATTTAGAGTGAAAGTTTTTTTTATTCATCACCTACCATTTACCAAATATAACCCATCCTTCCTTCTCATCATCTTGTCTACACTTATTCTCATCTATCCTTTGATGCCTTGCTTCACTTGTTTCCTGTAGGTGGATGAACCGGCTGGGTCTAGCTGCTATTGGATACACACCAGATGATAAGGTGCCTCGCCCTGATGAAGGTGAGGTGGATGGGCTAGACAAGAAAGGATTCCCTCAAACTTTGTGTGTGTGTGTGTGTGTGTGTATATAACTAGCACAATTTTGTATGTGCATGTGTATTTATCGTCATGTCAGACTATTGGAGTGAGAGCGATCAAGACGATGTTGACGGCTCGATGACACTCAAACAGGAGGGACCTTCATCATTCTGTGATACTTACCATCGCACACCATCGGTAAGTAACACACTCAACTACACTCCTTTGCAATGTTTCATTCTGATAGAATATTTGATTCTTAAAAGCCCCACAGTTTTCCGATCTGCGTAGACCAGAGCTCGGCATTAATAAAACATCAGAGTGTGAGCCTAACGGCTTCTGTAAGCATCCAAGACCATCACTTCTCTGTGTTCTGCTGCCAGAACTTGTACTTAGTCTGACCTTTAGGTGGCGACATGCACATGCTCATTACATCACTGCTCTGATGTTACTCAGAGAATTAAAATCCAGTGGCACTGGTGTCATTAATATCTCAGCTGAGCCACACAATGCTCATGTCAGTCATTCGTAGATTACTCTTCAGCCATCTCATTGCTTTTTTATTCTCATCTTTTGCTCTCTTTCTTTCCTTCTCCTGTCCTCTCTCCACCCTTGCACACCTCCTCCTCCTCGTCTTGCGGGTCACTGTTTCCTTGTATCTGTGCTCACCTTTCACTCTTCACCACTTTCATCTATCCCTGCTCACTTCTCTTACTCTTGATCCGTTCAGGCTAACCTCCTCCACAGTTATGACCAGTTGCCCCGCTCAGTGAGCTCCATGAGCCTCATGCGCTCCACTCCATCCCCACTCCCCCCACCAATGAGTGCCTCCACCTCCCCCATTCCTCCACAGATGGTCTCTTCCACCTCCCCTCTCCCTCCGCAGGTTAATTCTTCTAGCCCCTTCCCTGAGCCTAAGCATGGTCGGCATTTCTCCAGCGAGTCCACACACTCCCACTCCTCTGCTGAGGACCAGCGTGGAGACAGCATGGGCATGGGAACTGGCACAGGCAGCACCAGTACCCACTCATCCGGCTGCCGCTCTTCCCATCGTGAACGACGCTCCTGGCAGGACCTTATTGAGACCCCTCTGACCAGCGCAGGGCTGCACTTCCTCCAGACAGCACCGGGGGAGAGTGAGTATGGCGGCTTAATGGGGAGCATGGCTGGAGAAATGGGGTTCTACGGAGGGCTGGGCAGACAGGGCATGTCCCCAGAGAGACGCAGGCAGGCCACGCTGCCCGTACGGAGACACCACGCCGCAGAGAGGGACAGAGAACGGGATGGGCCCTTCCCTCTGGAGCGGGGGCCGTACACACACAGCCACACACACAGGCGCTCCCACAAGCAGCGGAGCCAGAGTCTCCCCAGGAACAGGGACCCGATGCCAGGAAAGCTGCTGCACACCTCTGCTCACATGGAGGAGAGGAGTGAAGACGAGGAGGCAGAAGAGCAGGCTGCAGATATGCTTGAGGGTGAGGAGGGTAAGAAAGTTACAGCGTTAATATTTTCCTAGTGTTGTATGCATTAGACAAAATATTAATGTCATGTATTTAAGTTAAAGTAAAAAAAAAGCTCTTTATAACACAGCCCACGACTAAGACTAGAATTAAATGTAATTTCACTTTATGTTTTCTGAATAATACAGTCATATTTATCTAAAGTAATCGGGCAGCTATTTATAGCAACTATTCACAGGAAATAAAGAAGTAATGATGATAAAGAAATAACTATATTGTAATGAACTTTAAGTAGTGCATAACCTCTGAGTATTTTATAGGAATTGAGACACAAAATGATGTAAAATTGATCAAGTTTACAGTGTTGTTTTGTATATAACTATCCTCCCACCCATATTTACATAGGTCAAAATATGTAGTAAACGTCAGCTCAGTCATTAACAATGAGAAGAATAAGAATAACTTTATTGATCCCAGAGGGAAATTAATATGTCTGGCTCAGATTAATTTACTGATTAGTATGCAATCACTGACTTTTCAGGCTTTAAAAAAGCCCAGTTTTCTAACAGTGTTCAATACAGTCAACTATGAAATGAATATAAGCTGTCATGTGTCACTTTTATTTATTTATTTATTTTTATTTTATTGCTATGTGAATATTAGTATTGTACAGCACTTTGGTCTACCAGGTGTGTTTTTAAAGTGCTATATAAATAAATGATGATGATGATGTGATCATTGTCAGATACAAAAATGTAAAGAAATTCTGTAAATATTATATAATAATATTTCTCTAATATTCCCATTTCTACTAAACAAACTAAAAATCTTTTAAACTTTAAAACTTAATTTAAACTTCTGCTTTGAATCTATGTAGAGCCCAGAACATAGTCTGCAGTGGTTCTAAGTGTATATACTGTACACCTATCATGGGCATGAATCTCATGGTTTTGGGCTTTAAATGATTTCTTTAAACTCTTCTTTTTCCAGGATCAAATGATTGTACAGCAACATCTTTAAAAAGTTTTAAAAAACAAGAACTGGGAACAAATTTGAGTGTATTTTCTAATCCACAGAAAGTCAAAAGTATGCCTGTAGGGTCAAATAAATATGTACACCTCTCACTAATATTTGGGTAAATGTCCCTCACCGAGTTGCAGATGTTTTGGGAGCCATCGACGAGCTTCTGGCATAATCCTGGCTGGATTGTTGACCCCTCTCTTTGGCACTAGGTTCATTTAAATTGGTTGGTTTCCAGGCACGGACTTGGCATTGACACATTCTCCACAAATTTTCAATTTTCAATAGTGTTGAGTTTGGGGAAGACCGTTTCAGATGCTAAATGTTGGTCTGCTTTATCTATTCCAAACCAGTTTTAAAGTGTTTTCAGGATCATTGTTTCGTTTCTTTTCAGCCATATACCAACTGGTTTAAAGTGAATTGTTGCCAAATAGTTAAATATTTGTTTCATCTAAACATAAAACTTTTGCAACTTACTTCTACTTCTGCATGCACGTACATTTCATGTTTTGGAGACGAAAATGTGAAATGGAAACGGTGGACCGGCGCGTCTTTCACATTTTGCTGTGATATCGAGTTGAAACACATTTATTGAGAGATTTAAATGTGTGTGTTTGTATAAGCTTGAGCCTGTGTGGATCAGAGAAAATCCTAAATAAATTCAAACTTGTGCACGAGTTCTTGTTTTTTTTATAGTCATCAAAGATGGATGCTGGAAAATAAAACAGTACAAAGAAATCATTAAAAGCCCAAAATGACCACGGTATTCATGCCCATGACGAGTGTTTGTAAACTTGTGGCCCAAACTGTACACAAGCCTTCCACTCTGTTGTCAATATTCATACCAGTGCGGCCTGTGGCGATGCCATGTGTAGTTAGATTTGTAGGAAGGTGCATGTTAGGTTATTTAAAAGGGTTTGCAGCAATGACATACAGATGCCTTCAGCCAAGGTTTAACATGAATGCATAAATCCACTGTAACCAAACAAAAGGTTCACTCTCCAAAAAGGTACTACTATAAGTTTTATTTGTATTAAGGAGGTAGAGCTAACAAAAGAGCTTCTATAACAGTGAAAATTCCCAGTTTGATCCCAAAAGGAGACACAAATCCCTTTGGGGTTGCATCAGGAGGGCATCTGGTGTAAAAATCTGCTAAATCAGACACATGCAGCTACCAGCTGTTGTGACCCCTCATGAATAAGGGAGCAGCTGAAAGTAATAGTTTTTCCTTAAGCTGTTTTTGCAGATGCACTGCAGTCTTGAAATTTTGCATGAACTCCCTCATACGAATACCTTTTGCACCAATATGCGAATAACACAGCTAATATTCCAGTACGTGCTAGCAGGTGGGCGTCACATGTGCGGCAATCTGCTCATTGTATCCAGGCAGCTCTTGCCTAAACCACTGAGAATTCCCGGTTTTATGAATGCATCTAAATAGACTCTTTCCTGCTGTGTGACACATGTGAAACTATTTATACTGCTCTTAGTATTACTTGTGCCAGTGATCGGAGTTAACTAATTCTCTTTACTTCACCGTTTATTTATTTTGTAAAGACAAAACAGTGTCACATTAGTATAAAGGCATCCAAATCTAAACATGGGACAAAAACATTTCAGTTAACTTCTGAAACCCCCCCCCCCCCCCAAAGAAAACAAGAATATCTCTGAGGAGCGTGGGATGACATGCAACTTTGTTTGCTAGGTTTTTTTCTAACTGTCAGTTGTACGTGATCGGTCTGTCTCTCACCGCTCGTCTCGTTAGATCTGCGGGAGCTGAGAGTGGAGAGCAGAGAGAGGAGGGTGTCGGAGGGACGGGAGCGGCGAGTTTCAGAGTGCCGCGAGCCCGAGCCGCTGGATGGGCTAGAGCAGCTCTATCGGGCCCTGGAGCAAGCCAACGTGACAGCTTTAGGAGACCCTAGACCATGTAGCAGGCAGGAGCTTCGACGCTGTTTCATCCAGAGAGCCAGGGACCCCCTGCTCAACGACAGGCTGCACCGGGTCCGAGCCCTCCGTAGCACCTTGAAGGTATCATTAACAACTTCTGTCACAAACGGAACAAAGATTTAACATGTTTTAAAACTTTCTAATACCCGTAAACCCATAACTCCCTTAGTCACGTGTCCCCTTAGTGTGTCATTTCATGGAAATGTTGCTGAAAAACAAACAATACTTCCCCTCCTTACATCATAAGTATGCTGTACCTTTCCTGGCGTATTATGGAATGGATTAATCTTGCCTTTTCACATCGTTATTTTTTAACGTCTTTATTTATTAATTGATGCACAACAACTTGATGAATTTTAAATAAAGATGGACCCAAAATAAGATGGCACCTGTTAAGTCTGTGAAGGTTCTCAGTCATCCAGGTCGTCGTAGTCTAAGTAGCTTGGAAAGAAAAGCATCTGGACTTCTTTAAGTTGCTTGAAGACGTTTCACCTCTCATCCGAGAAGCTTCTTCAGTTCTAGGGTCAAATAGAGGAGAGTCCCAGATTTAAGCCCTGTGGGAGTGTCCCCCAAAGAGGGACAATGGACCCCCACGGGACAAGACTCGGCTGTCCATTTGTATCTAAAGGATAAAGGTCACTCTTTCGAGGATGACATTTTGGACAGAGACGACAGATGGTTTGAAAAAGGGACTGAAAGAATCAATTTATGTCCACTGTGATCGACCATCTTTGAACAGAAGCGGGGGTTTACGACACCAACTGTCTGCCATCTATAATCCAGTTCTGAGATCCTTCCCCAGACGCCTTAACGCCCACTCACATCCTGGGCCAGCTGACCTCAGGATATCACATGATAGGGTGGGGCCAGGTTTCACAATGAGCTCAGCTGAGACCTTGGCTACTTGTGACCCACACCCGTTTTCACACCTTGGCTCATGTGATTAGGTAGAGGATCATTAGGGGGTCCATTGTCGCTCTTGGGGGGGGACACTCCCACAGGGCTTAAATCTGGGACTTTCCAGCATTTGACCCTAGAACTGAAGAAGCTTCTATGCTTTGTGCTATGTGAATAAAACTGAATTGAATTGAATTGAAAAAAAAAGATGTAAAAAAGCAAGATTTCCCGACTTCATAATACGGCCCACACTCCAAAAAGTACAGCATACTTACGATGCAAGATGGGGAAATAATGTTTTTCTGTAAAATTACCATAGAATTACATACTTACACTATACTTGAAATTACAGTGCAAGTACAATTTTCTTGGCTGACATGTTACCCCTTTATTCTATCATTTATATTACATTTATTCTAGTCCATATTTACAGATAAATATACAACAATTACATTATAGTTTCAACTGAAATACATTGAATTTCCATTTAATTACAGGGGAACTACATCCTTTATCACAGGGTGTATTATAAGTGTTACCAGGTTGTTGTTGGGTTTTTTTACACAAAAAAACAACGTGAGGATTTAATGCGGTAACGCTTTTCTCCTACAGGCCAAAGAGTCGGAGCTAGCAGTGATCTGTTCCCTCCTGGAGGACCCTGGCCTGTGCTCCCAAACCTTCAGAGAATGGAAGCAGTGGCACAGCGAGCTCTACTCAGACATCTGCCAGCTCAGCCCCGGCACCAACGGCCAGGATGACCTCTCCCCGCTGGCCGCACCTCTCATGACCCACACGCACTCCTTCATCGAGACCCACGTGTGAGAAAGAGACGAGAAGCGAAGGCTGAACTGACACGCACACGCAAACACACACACGCGCGCAGCAACACGGAACTTTACATTAGCTAACCCTCTGTCCTGGTCACGACTCTGAGCATGCACACACACACACACACACACACATTGTAAGATGTGTAAATATCATAGAGGGAACAGTCTGAGACCTGCGTGTATGAACTTTTGATAATCCCGAGGACCCCACAGGGTGCCAATTGCATGCCTGAACAGAAAGCATTAATCTTCCTTTGTCTATGGATCTCAGCATAAACGCCACACGCTTGTCAAGCAAAACGGGGGGAAAAAACAGACTTTTTAACACAAATTTTTTCTTTTATATTCTCTAGGTTTTGCTTTTGCTTTTTTTTTCTGCTTTATTTTAGGGGTAAGGGGGAGCTATGTAGCAGCAATACAGAGGAAAACCCTTTTCACCACAACACTGTACTTTTGTACTGATGAACTTTGCACCCAGAGCCACCAGTTCTCCCCCTTTCTCTCTGTGTTTTTTTTCCTCTTGCGTATCTTTTTGAGTTACAGGGACCTCACTGTTATTTCAGGCTGATCTCACGGCACAGTGCGGGGAAAGTAAAGTGTGAAACTGTGAGAGGTAGCCAGCAATGTCGGTTTATCAGCGAGAACCCCTTTGCGCTGGCCGGATTCATGTGCTGAAGGAGGCTCCTCTGAACGAGTGCAGTTCTGTTGGCATCTTCTCTTCCTCTCGTTTCTCTCCATCACCTTCTCTTTTCTTAGCGACTTCTTTCTCTAGTCCTCAAAGACTTGTGTATATGTGTATACTGATGTAAATGTTTGCGTTCCACTACCACTGTGATAGGCTTCTAGAGGTAGCGGAGGGAAGACAGAGAGTATGTATTTGTGCGGGTGCAAAACAAGTTTATTATTATTACTTTTTTTTGGTTTCTTTCGTAGTTTTTTTTCCTTAAACCGTGAATGCAAGAGCTTAGAGAGTTCTTTTTCAGTCACTCACTACAACGAATGCACTTTCTATATCTCTATATCTCATCGGCTGCATCACAGGGTCTACGTGTCATCGGCCTCATTACCATTGCTGTTCAAATATCAGGTAAAAGCATTTGCCGTCTCATTTTCTAAAGATTTGTGTACAGTCTACAAATATATTTAAACATAGAAGACTATATAAAATCTATTTACGTTTTGTGTCATAGAAATAATGTAAAGTATGATGTATTCTATGCCAAGGTTCTGCAGTGTCCCCCTCTTCACTCTGTAGATGCAGGGTGTTTAGCAGTCGAACAAATAGGATGCGACCGACAGCCGTCGCTGATGGTCTTTACTGGTTTACATCATGGCTGACCATTCTCTGGGTGGTGCGTTGCATGAGACAAAGGCCTGGGACTGATTTGAATGGACAGGGTAAAATACTGTGGATCATTTGTGTTCCTTTTTTTGTTCCTTCTCACAATTGCAAGGTAATTAGACTCGTAGCGCATGATAGATGCAAAAGTACCGTCGAAGGATGACTTTTTCTTTATGTGCTCGTAGCTTTCAAGTCTTTGTTTTTCATTCTGCAGTGTTTAGAGACACGTACTGTACCATGAGAGTTAAGGGAGGTTTTTCCTTCTCCTTTAGCATCCAAGCAGCAGGTTATAATTTGATGTTTGGCTCACATAGAAGACCGACCTGCATCCTAAAGAAGCTTCTGACACCTCACTCCAAGTTACATCACTGCAGTTGCTTCCAAAGTGAAAGCTAATTTGACATTCCCTCTAAGCATATGGTTGATACTGGGCAGTCATAACCTCTGCACTAAACGGTCTGTAATGTCTGTGAAACCGGGATGAATCATTTCATCTGCAATATCAGGCCAAGGACTCAACGGTGCCCCCCAGCGTCGAGGACTCCGAGAGACACGTGTAGCACCTGCTGCATCCAGCACTGTCTGTACTTAGTCTTCATATTTTACTGTTGTTCTTCTTCATGAGTTTTCATCATGTCACACTGTAGTGAAATATCAAACGTGCCCCAGAGATATAGCTCATGTTATTTGCCTGTTATTTCTTTATTTTTGTTTTTTTTTGCTAGTTTGTTTTTTAATGATTAATTTGAGAGTAACACAAAGAAACTCAATGATGCAAGCACTTTCCCTGTGCCTCCCAATCCTCTCTTTGGCAACGAAAGGACTGACTATTTCCACACACAGGCACGCACACACACACACAGACACACACGCGCAGCTGTAGAAGAGTTACAATACAGTTTTAGTCTGCAGACCTCTCTCTGTTTGTCATCTGTAGTGTTGGTCTTCTTTCTCCAACCGCTGCTCTGACATACTGTAGATTAAAGGAGTTCTGAGAGTTTTCATTTGTAGGCACCGACTGTGTTATTCCTCCCGAATCTTTTTGTGTGTGTAAACCTGCAGAAACAGGCCGAAAAGGGAGATTCCACTGTGTGTTCTTTCAGGGGTGTACACCTCATGGTACATTGCACAGGTGTGTAAGATGTAAGTTGCACTGCGACATTAAAAAAAAGGAACATATTGCTCTTTTTCAAGGATAATATTAGCTTACTGTTATTCTGTACATTAAAATGACTAAAGACGATATTAAAAAAGAAAGAAAATTACATTTATTCTTCCTAAAGTAGCCTTTTTTGGTTTCATATATATGAATATATATTACAGAAAATACAGATTGTAAACCTAAGTTGTTAAACTTTGACTTCAATAAACTGAATCCTCTGCACTATGGCCGGTTAATGTGTGCCTTTCCTCTGATTTATTGGAAGAGTTTTGCTGTGTCTTCTAGTTAATAACAGTTTCAAGTTAAGGGCAGGAAGCCCTACAGCATGCTGTGCAACTCGTGCCATCCATCTATCCATCATATCTTTTTCAGTTTACAATGTGGTGGGCAAAAGCTTTGTTTCCAGGCTGTCACTTGGCTTCACTCTCTGCACTCTTTTAAAGACAATCTTTATTCTGGATTCATCTCTTGGGGATCTATAGCCTTGCCAGGCGATTGTGGCTCAAGAGTTGGGAGTTCGCCTTGTAATCGGAAGGTTGCCGGTTCGAGCCCTGGCTTGGACAGTCTCGGTCGTTGTGTCCTTGGGCAAGACACTTCACCCGTTACCTACCAGTGTCTGGCAGCCTCACCTCTGTCAGTGCGCCCCAGGGTGGCTGTGGCTACAATGTAGCTTGCAATCACGTGTGTGTGAATGGGTGGATGACTGGATGTGTAAAGCGCTTTGGGGTCCTTAGGGACTAGTAAAGCACTATACAAATACAGGCCATTTATCCTTTGTTGGGGCCTTACTATTGGAATGAGTATGTGCACAATTGCCTAAACAGTTTTGGCATATAAATATAGAGAAGGTTTATTGATACTGGAAGCTTCCATTAGTAGTCTGCTTGTACTCTCAGTACTAACAAAACAGGTTTGCGCAGGCTTTGGTTGCCTGCAGGTAAATAGTCCAGATGGAGAGCAAAAGAAGGATGCTGTTGAAATGCAATACATAATCAGCAGCTATTCCTGATGTATTTCCATTTGTAAACAATGTTGCAAACCTTAACTCAGATATCTAGTGGCTTCACCGGCAACCCAAAAATTAATTCCTAGACTGATACTGTTTCATCAAATCCAGTGCAACTTGTGCACCTGTGCTGTTCTGATGCAGAACTTTGTGTGTGTAGGTTGATTTCTGACTGAACACATCTTAAAGCTCTTGTGCACAAAGTTAAGTAGTACTGTAAATTTCCTTATACGTATTCACTTCATTAAAACTAAACTAAATGTGGAGAAATCCTGTGGTGCTGGAACATGAGGCTCCCTCAGGGTCGATGCTGGCAATGTCTCAGCAACGTAAATAACAACTTATTTACATGTGAAACTGCGAGTAGGAGTTTATTTTTATTTTGATGCAAATGTACAAAAGCAAAGGTCAACTGTCCGCTCAGTGGGTGAGTAGGATAGCACAGCCGAGCTGCAATTCCCACTTCAGCCCATTAGGTGGCAGTAGCCGACCGCGGGGTTTTTTGGGCTAGGACGAAGCTGTAACCAACAGAAGAAGGGGGAGAGCGCTGTCATGGCGGCCAAGGTGAATGCATGTCATTTTGTCTTCAGCAAAGTTTTTAGCTTTTATTACAATGACTTTTCAATGAAAGTGTAGACTGTATGTTGGCGTCAAGTGCCCCGCAGCTGCTAATGTTTACTTGTTCTGGTTGTCACATCTCAGGCGTTGTTACTCTGCACGAAATATCTTTGCTAGCTATGTGTGCTGTGCTAGCTTCGCTGAATGACTCCTAAAAAGAATACACGGAGGAAGGTTTTAGCAGAGGTTGCATCTTTAAAAGTGTGTAACAGCTGTTTAACCTTAATAGCTGTCAGCCCTGCCTTTGTTAGCTTTCTAGAGCCGCATTAAGCTACAACACAAACACTGTCGGTAAGAGTAACGCTTAACGTCAGTTAGCTTAACTAGTTCGAAACAGTTTGTACACACAAAACAAAGGGAATAAGCTCAGGATGTATACTTAGAAGTTCATTAATGCAGTATAAATAAATATTTGAAAGACTGGAAAAGCGATGCTTTGAAATATATGGTGGTATTGTTGTAATTAATAATATAATATATACATATAATAATTCTTCCACTGAAAGTCCACGAAGTAAGCTGTGATAGTGATGTGGTGTTGACACACTGACTAAAACTACAGTGTACGTTCCCCCTCCTGCCAGGTGGTAATGGTGGCCGTCCCGACTGTGCTGGGAATAGCCTCCCTCCGTGTGTACTCTGTGAATGAAGCGCCCGCTGATGGGCTGGTTACTCGAGAAAAGGTGTGTATTCATGATTTGTATGGGATATTGCCATTCATAGCCATAATAACACACCAACTCTCTACCTCCCTTTCCCCAGCTCAACATCTACAACCCGGTGTTGCAGTCTGCTCAGAGTAAGTTTGTCCCAGAGAGTCCAGGGGTCATCGAGGGTGGAGTGACTACAGCCAGAGAGACAGTACTACCATTTGTGCACGCTGTAAAGGTATTCAAGTTTTTTCCCCCTTTGTGTACATGTAAAGCTGCATGTAGGAAAAAATCTCATTCACATTCACCGTCAAGTACTGATGTAGCTCATGCTTTCACATCCTCTTCTGCACTTTTAACACGAGCAGGTGGTGGAAACGCATTTATATTTAAACATATGACAGCTAAAATGCACCAGAGAACTCTTATCTTGCACCTGCGAATTTAGTTGACACCGCTATCTTTTTGCTGCTCATTGTGGTTTACAGAGCACGATCCCACATGCTGCAAGTGCTCGGTGCAGGAAGGATTCTTGCAGGTTTAGGAGTTAGACAGGAAACTTCATGCAGTTTAACTGAAGTTAAACTGCATGAAGTTTGCTGCAAGAAGATTTGACAGTTTGATTCTGTGAAACACAGGTTGTTGGGTGGGGGTGAGCAGTTAGCACTGACTCACATGTATCTGTTTCAGTGTTGCTTAAACAGGCATGTTCTTGATGAACTTTTCTAGTGGTTTCAGTTTAGTCTTCTGTTCCCTGCAGGGTGCCTGTATCTCTGTGAAAAGGGGAAGTATTGATCTTTATCATGCTGGAGAAGGTGAGTAAACAACAGGCAAACAACAGTCTTAGTTACATTGCACCTAAATATCAAATTTCAATAATAATAAGACATTTAAAGTTTTCAACATGTCACACATTTACTAAGTAAATATATTTCAAGGGGTGCTATTGAGGTGAAATTCTCACCAGGTGTCTGTAACAACCCATCCATTTCACACATGCAAAGAAATCAAACCACAGATGTCCATAAATTATGTGTAATAGCGAGAAATGACACAGGGAAAAGTATCAAACGCATGAAAAGGGAGGTGCAAAAAGTCGTGGAAAGTCATGACAGTAGCTTAAATCAGTCCTGCCACTTGTGCAAAGTGCAAATTTATATTAGCTGGTTCTTCACCAACTGATGGCCTATAAGAAGGGGTCTCATTACTAAGGTGTAAAACCAATTAGCTCTCTCAAGGCCGTTGCAAAACATACCGAAGAATTTCTAAACTAGTGAAGGTTCCAGTGAACAAAGTGGAAAGAACATCATGTTACCATAAACCGACCATGACCAGATGCCTCCTGCAAGATTTCAGACAGAGGAGTGAAAAGAATTATCAGAAGAGTTGTCTGAGAGTCAAGCAGCACTAGAGGCGCTGCATATCACCCCCAAAACGCCATACCAACAGTGAAGTTTGATACTGTGTGTACAATACTTTCTCCCTGTGTGATTTCTCATTATTACACATAACTTAATTTATGGGCATCTTTGGTTTGATATTGTGGCATTTGTGGATTGGAAGGGTTATTTCACACTTCTGGTCAGACTTTCATGTAAATAGCACCTTTAGAAACATATTTAATTTGTGATGTATTCAGTACTTCAGTCTTACCCACAGTAAGACATTAGAGGAAGAGAGTGATCTATTTAAAGTTTTTTTTTTTTAGTTACAGTTTAATGGTAGTCCCAATATTAGTGATACAGTTCACACCTTTTCTCTAAAGGAAGCTGAATGTATTTTTGTCAGCATCTTGATTTCTGTTATCTGCTCCTCAGATTTATACTATTACCTGAAGGACCCTCCTCCTGGTTTTCTGCCCAGATTTGGCACCATCACCGTGGCTGGCCTGCTTGGCATGTTCTTGGCACGGAAAGGTAACTCGAACTGACAAACAGTTTAGGCCTGCAAGAAACGTTTTAATCAGTTTCTCATATTAAATAAAGGAAAATGTTTGAAAGAGTGCTGGTCTAAGTGTGAACGGTTGTCTCTCTGTGTTAGCCCTGCAATAGACAGGTCACCTTTCCATTGTGCCATATTACAGGTGGGATAGGCTCCAGCCCCATGTGACCCAGTAAAAGGATTGCATACGACTATAACAAATGTAGCATACGCAAGAACTGCACATAGTGCAAGTTTAGTAAGCTTAAATATACATTAATGAATAAGTAACTCACAAGACATCAAAACAATTCCCTTTTGTAGGAATCAGTCTAGAAAAATTAAAGATGAAAATCCTGAAAAACAAGTGCAATTTGTTGAATATGTCTCAATAAACATGCATTGCTGCTGACACATCAGTGTGCCACTAAATGGTCACATACAATGTTTTGAAACTCATCAGCAAAACTCGACTCCTGTTCTGTCGCTGCGTCACAACAACAGTGTATTTCTTCTACAAACTGCATTTATTAAGGACACTTCTTACACTTATCGTCCAGTGGGCTTGACACTTTGGCAGGCTCTGACCTCTGACCTCTGGGCTGTGTGTTTTAACAGTCCCAGATTGTTAAGGTGCGACCCCAGCTCTGCTTGTGAGGATCACAGCACTTTACGTTCTTTCTTAGACCATTTAATGTTTTTCTTTGTTTTGCAGAACATAGAAAAAAAACATATAAAGTCATTTCAGAAAGACACGAATTAGTTTTACGCTCTCAGACTGTCTCAGAAGAAAGTTTCATTTCAGCCACACAGCAAATAAAGTATTACAATTTCTGCTTAATGTATTCATGGGATGAACATTTTAGATATTTTCTACACTTCTCACAATGCATGTGAACTTGCACAGAGATATGCATTGTTTGTTAACAAGAACATCTGTTTTACCCCCTTTTTGTTTTGTTTTAAAATGCACATACGCTCCAGATTTATTTATGTGTATTTAATCTTAGCGTGAGCTTTTCATGTACGAGATAACACTGTGATTATCAGGGTTTAGACACCACAGCCAGTGAAGCTGAAGTACCCCTCATCATCTCATCATCGATTGCCCAAAGTTTACCACAAGAAACAAGAAGTTTCTGAGGAAGTTTCACTTTTCTCATTACATTGTCTTCCTCACTCTTTCTTCCTATTACCAAAGAGTCATTTAAAGTGCATGAAAATGTTAATGTCTTTAAGTTAACCTGGGCATTGTGTTGGCCAAAATGTGCTGCAACACACTATGTGAGCATGACCTTTCTGGATATAGCAGTTCAGTAGTTGGCCTCCAGGACTTAACCTCTGCCCACTTGTATTGATCGCTGCCCTGCTTTGCAAAATGTTTTATTTCAGGCTCTCGTTTCAAGAGGTTAGCGGTCCCGCTGGGCCTGATGAGCGCAGGAGCATCAGTGTGCTACCCTGCACAAGCAGTGGCAGTGTTAAAGGTAACGCTGCTTCCTCAAGCACGGATATCTTATTAATTCGCAGTATAAATGTTAATATTTTCCTAGTTTAATTCGAGCGTTGTCTTTTGTCCTCCCAAGGTGACGGGAAAGAAGGTTTACGCTGCAGGGCAGTGGAGCCGTGCTGCAGCGTCTTCACTGCTCGCCTCCGCAGAGCCGGTTGCCAAAGAGACTGCTGCTTCACAGCCACAGGTTAACAGACTTTTAAGCGAACTGTTTTTAAGCAGAAAGACTTATAAAGCTGTTTTACTGTGTGACTAAAACCTAAACAGCAGTTCAGCTCGTGTAACTTGCTTTCCACTCGGTGCCTTTCCCTTCTCTACATGTGTTGCTTACTGACAGAGAAAAAATCCCTTTTGTGTGGTAAATAGGTTATATTCCATTTCCTTTCCTACACATTGCCTTTCATAACTGTTAGTGGAGTTTTATTCTTTGTGCCTCACATGTGATTCAGGCATATTTTCTGAGAGTTTAAATCTAAAATTTTATTACTTAAATATTCAAGAAAATTGTACATTTTAATTACGCACCATTAAAGTCGATTTTTTATTGTTTTTTTTTAGTCAGCTATAGCGGCAAATCTAGAGCCTCCAGCGGCTGAAGAAACCTCACAGCCCAGCTCCACTACAGACACCTCAGCCCAGAGCTCTACAATCTCAGACACAGAGGTGAAATCAGCTGATCCTATCTCTGATGAGCCCATTGTTGCTGTCATAACAGAAGAAGAGTCATCCGTAACAGCCACAGAAATATCCCCCAACCAGGCCCCCACAGAGACCAGCACAGGTATTATCAGTATTGATCCCTGTCGTCTTGTTTCTCTGTCTCCGTCTCTTCATTTCACACACAATCACACAGAGACTTATATCAACAGTGGTGGTTTAATTCCCGCTCTTTCCGGCTCTGTTGGCAAATTCTCCACCAGTAGAAAAAGTGTCCGCGCCTCCCTCAGAGGAGCTGCTGGCCCCTGTTGAAAGCGAAGAAGCCTCAGATGGAAAACAAGCCTCCGGGGATGTATCCACGAACACGAGCCCATCCGAGCCTGCAAGCTCAGGACCGGAAACAATAAAGGCCGTTCCAGTCGAGTCGGCATCTTCCTCTGAAGAAACATCTACTCCAGAGGCTTCCAGTGAGGCCACAGGTACCAAAAGTAGTTCATCTCAAAGAGCGAAAGGTTGATAAGTAAATAAAATAAGAAGAAATGATAACCTAAACAGAGGACCTATGCTTTAATCATCACTCCACTGCTCTTACTCTACACTTAATGTGTGCTGCTAACCTTTTACATTTCCTCTACCCTGAAATGTCAATTAGTCGAGTCAGATAGCATGGAGGAGTTGCTGCTTTTAATGAGACACCAGTCGCCACACTCACACCAACACCTATCCAACACAAAACCGTTACTGGTTGTACTTTAACCCTTTCTGCACATGTACCTTTGCTCTTGTTTGGGTGTTTACAGTAGACCAGCACAAACAAATGTTTTTTTTTTCTTTTTAAGCCCACAGACAAACATAGTGAGCCTTCACTTCCTGTTACTCGCACATTCGACCTCTTCTAAGAATGATGTGGTTACCTAAATGTGGGGACCTAAACGTTGTGGGTCTTGTGTTCTACATAGTTGTTGTTATTAGTATGATTATCACTGCTACCTGGGACTTGGATTCTGTTGTCGCTGTAGTACGTTCAGGTTTACTTCCTAACGTGATATAAATCTGTATTAGTTTTCAGTTTAACTCTTCACATCTCATCCTTCAGCACAGCTTACTTATCTTTTCGGTACATCTGTTTAGCAGTTTGACATACTGAGGATTGACTCACTCTGCACAAACTGTGTGATGTGAAAGAAAAGAGAGGAATGTGATGTAACATCTCACAGCACTCGGTGTGTGGAATATGCATTTTAAAAAGAATCGCAGGGCTTTAGTTGCAGTCTGCTCAGCCTAGCTTTAAGTTGAACCGAAAGATAGTTTTACCAAGAAGTGATATCATATTGCATAATACAGTTTTCTCCAGTGAGATCACAGTAAGAGGATGTGTTTGGGATGTTTTTTTTCCTTTAAGAAAATACATTTCCCGTTCCATGTTGCTGCAGATCTTCTTCCACAAAGCAGCAACTGGAGCTCCTTGTAAATGTTTAAAGGAGGTTGCCGTCCCAGTAGGTTGACTGGGTGCTGACATGTGGGTGAAACTGCTCTAAAACTGACAGAATGTATGTACGCAGCGATCTCTGCTTTGTCTCTGCGTATAAATTCTTTAACATGAGATGCAAATAGTAACACAGGCTGTGCCAAACTATACCACATTATACTTTTTAGTATTTCTGCTAGATTTTAACTCAGTGTTTCCATTTAGATGGTAAAAGTAGCAGTTTATGTCGACACTGTGTCTCCCATCCCTTTTCTTCTTGGTTCTTTCCATGAACCAAGTGCGGAAAAAGTGCAAGGTCACTCTAACTGTTTGATTTTGTTAAACACTCAGTTTGTTCATAAGATTTTCCAAATCTTTGTACCGCAGTGCTCAAAGGATTACTATGTAAACCAAATGACTAAACACAGAGTTTTGATTTATTTGTACTTTTTAAGAACCAACGCATCCAAATCAATCATGGAATTCAGGCAATTTTAGGAGGAAACATCACGTTTTTCTGCACGTTTGGTTGTTGCGCTGAACATAAAGATCGACAGAAACCTGCGACTTTCACCCGGCAACTCTTAATGTTTTCATCTGTTAATAAAAGTTAATTCTACAAATCTAACTCTATTGCTGTGCTTTGCATTTCTCTTGCTGCCCTGCAGAGGGCTCCAGTTTCAAACCAGACCCTTCTCTCATGGATTTCGGCCAGTCCAGCCCTGAGGATGAAGACCTGTACAGCACACGAAGCTGAGAGACTGCAGCCAGCCACAGGAGAAGCCTCATTCCCACACACACTGCTATCTCATATCTCACTCTAATTGACAAACGCTCTGTATCATTATGCGTTGTAAATAGGCCATTTTGCAAGCAATCGCAGTTAGAAAGACTTTAATCAACATTTCCATTCTCATTTCGTCTGCCCACATCAGCTGTTTCCACAGAAAACATCCCAGTACATTTGCATTGCAGCAGCGAGGCAGTGAATCTGGGCACACATAACTGAATCAGTTTGCGTGGGACAGAAAACTGGAATAAAAAACAAAAAAAACCACCCACTACTATTTACAAGCTTTTATACCCCAAATGGCAGATTGTGAAATTTTCTGTGTCATTTAACAAATACTGGCTTTTTGTGCTCCAGCTTTCACAGTCATGGATGCAGCGTGCTTTTATTTATTGTAATTTAGCCCAGTGTGTTGGTGAGCTGAAAAATCTGCACATGTGCTCGTGGTGATTACAAGATGGACTAGTTCTGTTTCACTCGCTAACACAGGAAATTGTCCTCACTTGTTAATTATGGAACTCAAATAAATCTATATTTTTCATGAATTCATGTTGGGTCATGTCTGCTACTGATTACAGCACTTCCAGCATGTAGCATCAACAGATCTTCACTCAGACCCCGAGTTGTCACATAATGAGCAGCTAAACATGAGGAATCATCTGAGCCGCATGAACCAGAGTTATCTTTGAAGGGAGACCATTAAAGTGGCCCCTTTCCATAGGAAGATGCTCCACATAGTGAGTCTTCATGCTGCAATTAGTCCATGAGAAACAACAACTTGTGCAAAAACCCATATGGTGCACACTCGCAGCTCTGTTCAAAGTATCTTACATTGAAGGGCACATTTAGTACGTGCAAATCTGTATCAACGGATTTTCATAATAAGCTTTGTTACAGTTTGTAGACATTAATTATAATCCATATGTCAAAAACATTATGAAGATTGAGTACTCTTAGATTTATATTTAAAAGTCAGGGGTGAGGAACTCCAGGCCTCAAGGGCCGGTGTCCTGCAGGTTTTAGATCTCACTCTGGGTCAACACACCTGAATCTGATGATTAGTTCATTAGCAGGCCTCTGGAGAACTTCAAGACATGTTGAGGAGGTAATTTAGCCATTTAGATCAGCTGTGTTGGATCAAGGACACATGTAAAACCTGCAGGACACTGGCCCCTGAGGCCTGGAGTTCCCCCACCCCTGCCCTACAATAATAGAAAACCCCAACGATCAGATGACTCCCCATAAGCAAGCACTTGGCAACAGTGGGAAGGAAAAACTCCCATTAAACAGGAGAGACCTCCAGCAGCACCAGGCTCAGGGAGGGACGGCCATGTGAGAGGGGACGGTTTTGACTAACACTTCTGCTCGTTCAGCAGAGTAAACATGTTTTGACTAGAACAAAACTGTCATCACACCTTCACATTTTCCACATGTGTAAATATCACGCAAGTTATTTGGGTTCCTGATAACAATCAGCACGTTGACATGCATGAAATGTACTGCAATTCTTTCACACCCACTAAGAAGAGATAATGAGCCCTGACTTTTCCTCCAGAACCACGTTTACATTTTTAATGTTTTGGTGTTTACGTGTCCTATGATTTACAGTAACAGACCTGTGTGGCTCCTTACAGCCACATGTCAGCCATTGAATCAAATCAAGTTGTAACAAGTCAGACACTGGGTCATATAATCTAAAAGCTAATCTCTACTGATCGATGCTTTACAGAAACCAAAAGTTTCAATGGTGTTCTCAAAGTTGCAATAAAATCATAATGTAAGCACAGCACCCGAGCAATTATTATTCATGGGAATGATTATGCCGAGCAGTTTGAACAGCAAGCGTGCATTAATGCCTTGTGTTCTCTGAAAAGTGATTTTTGTTTGTGTGCTTGCGTGTGTGTGTTTAGCTCGAGAATATTAACAGCCGAGCAGGAGCCAGCAGCCAATCAGGTGCGAAATCACAAATGAATAAATAGGCTCCTGGCCAGCAGCTGTGCAGACTGCAGGCTGACCCCCCCGCGCTCCGATCACGATGCTTTGTGTGCTCTCCCTGTGTGGCTGACACCTTTGTTTTCACCATTAACTGTTTTATATGCACTTTAGTGTTTTTATTGTTCGGGCACTGAAGCACCCTGAGGTACTGTATGTTTTTAATTATTGATTTATTTGGTCTGCCATAGGCTTTACTGTAATTAGAAAAGGCTGCAAAGAGCTGGATAACTAAGGCTACCACTGCAAAGTCATAAGATCTCTCTTTTTTTCATGTTATTATTCTACTTTTGTATATTTCAGTTGTCATTTACATTTATTGCTATTATCGATCATTTAAGCCCTGATTTAGCACATTTAGGTTCAACCATGTCTCTTCGTTTCCAGTCCTGCAAACAGTTGTTTCCTCTGGTCTTAGTATTGTTGGAGATGATATCTTTTGTTGGTGCACATTTTTATGTTTAATCTTATGTTACATTTACTCCCAGGCAGAATACTCCCAGTTCTCCATTAGTGGATGGTTTTGCTTGTCCGGCTGAGATACAGCTTTTTTGTTGCCCCCTTTTCCTTTCCTCCCTTTGTTAGAAATCCAGTAACTGCAGTTACAGCAGATAAGCCACACCGGCTGTTGTAGGCTGCTTTAAAATCACCTGAGTCACGTTTACACACACATACACAAAAAAAACAGCATTCCCGGTGCCACATCTTTTTGCTTATTTCTGTATCTGTAAAGAGGGGCTGAGGTATCTGTTCACATCTTTATAGAGGAACTGGAGCTGGACCCCCGGACCTCATAAACTCTGCACGAGTCTGTCCAGAGTCACGACCCTTGGGATCCTCTCTGCCTGTGTGTATGTAGTGCGAGTCACAAGATGTCCGTACTTGCACGTTTTTCTTTCTGGAATATATGGAGAAGGGCGCACATACGGGAACCTGGCTTCGTGTGGCATCAAAGCAACAGCTTGTGCTGCTGCTTTGAGTCACGGGAGCCAGAGACTTACTGACTGGAGGGAGTCTGTATTTTTTTTTTAAAATATATAAATAGAATAAGTCTGACAGTTCCTCCAGGAACAACTAGCGACCAGCAGCATCAATAATAATAAAAAAACCCATATGGAACATATTGATTCAGTTCAAAATAGAAGTGACCAGAAAGAGTTGGGAATCGTGTAAATCAGAGAAATCCTTTCTTCTCACAGCTTGTTAGGGAAGGATGGACATCTTGTTGCCATAAGCTGTGCCCCCCAGCACACACACACACACACACACACACACACACACACACACACACACACACACACACACACACACACACACACACACACACACAGATGTGACTAAGTATAGCTTCATCTGGCTTCCCTCAAGGGTCCCCTTCACATATAGGGTCCCCTTTCCTCACAGCATCCCACACGAACAGCGGCTACAGCCATGTTTTGAGAATTAATAAGAAGACTGGACTCTGGCATGTAGGCCAGAGTGCACTCAGATCTGATTTTTTTGACCAGCAGAGAGGAAATGGGGGGGGGG